TTTGATACTAAACCGAGTGTTTAACTCAGCAATATTTCAGCTATATGACGGCGGTCTGTAAACAGGGGTTGAAAATTTATGAAAAATGTTACTTGACCAAGGGCAAATATGACCAACATTCTTACTTGCCCTATTTTAAAATGTACTTGCCCAAAATAAAATAAATTCAGTAAATTGTTAGTTACACCTGATGTATTGTGACTTTTCAAATATTCAATTCTGAAATTTGAACATCCAACAATAAAAGTTCTCATTCGATTGCAAGCATGTATGTTTGGGTACTTGGAAAAGATGGTGACTTCATGACTTCTGCCGTGTCATCATCATACGCAACCCAAGGGAATGGTCTTTCCACCCAGCGATGGATGTTCGTTTTCGTCATACGTCTTATTCTTGGGCGATATAGATTCATTTATACACTTTTTATTCTATAAATGTTCAGAATTCCCCTCCGCCTTCCTTTTAAGTTTGTCCCCATCGCTGAAGAAACTTAAATAAACCTCTAGGTGTGACATGATCTGACATGTTCTGGCAATGTAAATTGTTATTGCAGATACCCCTCTGAGTGTTGATGAGGCAAAGGGAGGTTACTCTATCCTTCACTAGCTTACTCATTTGAAACAAAAGACTGCAGGTTTACTTACAGTGATCCCTCGCTATTGCGCTCTTCAATATCGCGCTCTCATAGCGTTACGGTAACACATACAGCTCCCCAAATAGCTACCAAAATTTATATACAACTTAGTAAACTTATGTCACTGACACGATGTCTTTTCCCCATCGCAAAAAAATAATACTAGCTGATCACTGCGAGCACGCAACACCGGAAATACCAATCACAAATCCGCAATGAAGTCCTCAATTTAATCCTATTATTACACTATCTGGTTATAAAAACATGTTCGTTGTACACTTTGACATATGTTTGTGGCATATTTTATTAAGTTTATTCAAAATTTCGTTCAATATAGTTTAGATTAATTTTGTGCGTAACGGGATCGGTAGATCGCACAACTCGCCGTTATTTACAGCAACCACGGTCAGGTTATCGCTATTGACGCCTTGAAACGAACTTTAGTTGACAAGAAATAGATACATAGATCTATATTAAAAATGCCATTCTTTGACACGTTAAAAGTCACATATATTGTAGTTCGACTGTTTTGTGTCAACAAAGTTTTCGCGATCCAGAGCGTCGACGGCGACCGGTGTGTCAATGTCAAAAAAATATATTTCATCAAAGCTAGGCCTATAGACGGAAACTGTTTCTGCCTCGCATTACAAATTCCAAGGAAAGTAGTCAACTGCCTGTCATTCCATTTTCCAAGAAGCATGTGCCATATATGGAAGTGTGACTACGATTAAACAATGAAACAAGCCTGGTTCTCATAGTTGACCTGCCTGACATCGAAGTGTATAAATCCCATTGGTTGACTGGGGTAGCTGTATGCAAATTAGATTGCCAGTCTCGGACACTAGCAAAATATTAGCCAATCAATATCGTAACATCATCACATGATTACATTCACGTGAAACTTGACCTACCAGATCATTTTGTGTGCTCTACTTGCCACGGGCATACTAGAAAACGTATATTACACGCCCGATATCTAAAGCATACTTGGCACGGGCGTCGGGCAATGGTATTTTTCAATAATCGAGTCTGGACCAGACAGTCTAGTGATTGATATCATGAGCATCGATGAACGCAATTGGGAAACCATGATATGTCATCGACCAAGTCAGCGAGCCTGACCACCGTTTGTCGCCTCCAACGACAAGCAAGGGTTGCTGAAGAACAATTGTAACCCGAGTCCTACATTTAGTGAGCTATGTGAACCCCTTGGGTTACGGAAATGTAGTATATTTAAAAATCTCTTGAAATTGACCAACCCTCCACTTCTCGTGTGGTTAACATATAATTTAGGCACTTGCAAGATTTAAAACTTTAAAGCCAAAGTCAATGTTAAACTAATGTTGATAAATCTGTGTTTCTTAAAACACAGATGAATATCATCTTCTCGAGCCTCGACACACACCAGGCATTACTAAGGTATCATAAATCGTACAGTAAATCTAATTTTGTATAATCATGACATTAAGTTATTCACTCATCAATTAAAAGTTTGAAAGTATAATTCATCAGCAGTCTTGGTGTTGTGTTCAATTCGTTGTGGACATTGTACGGCGCATGGGCTTCAGGATCCTCCAGCTGAAAGCGTACAGTGAACGATGGACGGTGTGTTTGCTGCTAATGATGCAGTACAGATTAACGGCTGATTGCGCTGCGATATATTCCCAATATTTAAAAGTGTTGTAGGAATCACTTTCCCACAATGAAACTAATTAAAATGTCGTGTTGTTCTGTTGATCCGTACTTGTGTGTCCGGAGCATATCCTTCCAGGAAGAGTTGTGTATTGAATCACGACTTTTGTTGAAACAGCGACGAAGAAGGTTAATGTACCCGCGGATAATAAATTAGTCCGTTCATATATATCTGTTTCTGTGTATATTCGGAGATGTGTGGCTGGCCTCTTTCATGAATAAATGGCGAGATTAAGGTCGTCAGCCTCCCAGCTTCAGCAAACAAGATCAGTCAGCTGCAGGCATACAAGTTGTCTGTCTCACACACCCTAGAAAATATAATAAACAGTCTTCCAACTCAAGTCTAGATTTCCTCAGTTCTGAAATTAAGCATTGTTATGGGGGCCATTTGGATTTTGTTTTGTAGTTTGTAGATATATTTTTTTGAATAAGATAACTTTTTTTCTGGGATGAAAGGTTAGTCTGGCATATAAGGGACAGAAATGTGTATACACATATGTATGTGTGTAGTAAAGAAACTTTACGATAGTTTTAAATCACTCTAGTTTAAGAACCACAAAAGATAGATGCATGAAGTAAAATGTATTGAAATGATCAACGAAATTAACATTTAAATGACAGTCATACAGCATCTGATACTGGCATGACAGTCGGCCAAACTGATGTGGGGTAGCAGAAACAAGTTTTGACACGTCCCATTAATAGCGTGTATGACCACCCCCTACTTTAAGACACGCAAAAAGCTCGCAGTCAGTCGTCTGATGACGTGACAGGGAATACGTCGCCATTCTCCTTGGAGGGGATGGATCAGTTCTTGTTGGAGAATGTGGTCGCTATCGAACACGACGATTCATGACACCCCAGAGATGTTCTATGGGGGACATGTCTGGGGAGCGTGCAGGTCATGGCAACACGTTGACGATTCGGGCTGTCTGGGGTCTGGCGTTGTCATGCGGACAAAGGACACCACTCGGTAGCTGTTGTAGAAATGTTAGGACAATCGGACGAAGAGTATCATCCATGTGACGCTAAACTGTCAGGTTTCCGTTAACGATGACCAGTGGTGTTCTCTCCTGCCCACAGATTTCCTCCCAACACCATAACAGCCCCTCCACCATACGGCATTAAACATGCCGCCTTCCGTTCTCTCCTTCGGTGGTAAACACGCTGTCTTCCTTCAGAAAAGACAGAACCGACTTTCATCAGTGAAAACGAACCTTTGCCAGTCACGCCGCTGCCAACGACGTACAGTCCGGGCCCACCTCAATCTCTGATGACGATGTTGCGCTGTCTATAACTGTCCTCTGTAATTCCTTGACCCCTATGTCGCCTAGCCACTGTCTATCGACTAACCTTATGCCCCGGGGCATTCTTCGCTGGTGACGTCACTGTCAGGAAGCGATTCCGGAGATGAAAAGTACACAAGTCCCGGTCTTCATTGGGCGTAGTTATCTTGGGTCTGCCTATTCTTGGCCTGTCTCATGTCTGCCATGTCTGGCTGTAACGTTGCATCACGTTAGTGACAGCAACACGGAAGCAACCACTTAATGTTGGCATGGATGGCTTCCATCTGTATCATACCAAAGGGCCCGCTCGCGTTGATCGGGTGTCAGTCGTGAACGTGTGTTGACGTGTACCACTTTCTGCATAGATTTAGTTCGAACTCGCGTTTTTATATTTTTGCAATTTCAGTCTGGTAAAGTATCTTTTGGCCGTCAGTTTAGAAATTAAAGAGACCAATTAAACCGCCTTATCTGTTTCATATTTAGATATATGCATAAATTCAGAGTGACAAAAAACTCTCCACAAGATTGTATGACAACAGGGATCACTTCAACTTTCCAATAGTTAACTTTCCAATTATGTCGAGCAATACTACAGCAGCGCCAGCCTTTGGTGTCAACATTTCACAACGCTCGATACGCTCACCTTTTCGCCAACACGCTGGTATCATCACCATTTGATAGTCACGATTCATTAACACATACTCATGGGTCGGAATCGTTAACCGATTCTGCTTTTAGCAGATTACATTTGAATAGGATGAATATAGAAAGGGCTTTGTCGCTTTTATTTACAAGTAGGTTTTTAAACGTCCGAGAGTTCTTTTTGCCAAAGATTAAGAACTAAGGAGTACAAAACAAAATTAAGCAGATATTTTGTTAAAGGCGAAAAGACAAAATGTTGTTTACACTACAATATTCCAAATGGTAACACGCGTGGGCGACATATGCATTCAATTACTATGTGAATTAATAACCACAACAAGTCCCTACTTAATGCTGAGTATTGCATACTTATAAACAGCAGTACATTACAGACGTGTGCTCAAGAGGTCTTTTACAGAGACTTAAAGCAACTGGCAAATTTGTCAGTCTGTATATTAAGTATCGAATTAACCAAAACAAAATTAGGTTTTGATAATGGTGCCTCTATTACGTGAAACAAATAATATTCTTTTTTGATATACTTATATTAAGTAATCATTGTAAACGTTTACTTCCGAGAAAATGATTTTGTATTCGTGCTTGATGGTTCATTCAAATATAGGATCATATTCAACTCAAATTGAATAAAAAAGTTCAGCAGTCAGATTCGAACTCACTTAGATATACAACGTGCACATTCTTCGAGCTCGCGGTCTACCCGGATTATCTCCCTTTGACGAGGGAATTTCCCCATTCAACTTCCTGATTGCCGTGGTCAATCAATAACCGGCGTGTATTCATTCACAAGGGTAACTTATTGACTTCAACGATCTACGTCATGACAGCCAACTGTTATAACTGACAGCATAGTTTCACAATGTGGGATATTAATGTACTGGTTGAATACAAGCCCAACACCCAGTGGTGAGTGTGACTTGTCGACACGTACATAGATAGCGAGTTGTTTTATCGTTTATTAAATAACACACGTCATTGTACACGTGCCAGTTAAGATTTTATGCCTGTGACCTCAAAGTGTACCTTACGTAATTTCGTTTGGAGTGTATGGTGTATATGAAATCTTTTATTACCAATAATAACAAGTCCGAACAACAGTTGAGTGGACAGAAATGTACAACGAGAAAGTTTAAGGGATAACCTGAGACACGTGTAAATGTTGATAGTTTTGATTCCAAGTGAATGAAAACAAGACACCAACTACCTGGAATAACATCTCGTCTCTAAATGAAGTTCCAACTGGAGCGCAATTCTAAAACAAATCATGGCTAACTGAGATATTTTACAAACGTTTCAACTGATTAATGGTGTGTAAGTGTGGGTGTCAAAATTGGTAATGTTAGTAGTTATACCTCCCACATTCTTGCTTTGATTCCACTATTCGAGTGGCCCCTTCTATGACCCACTTCTGTGATCCACTTCTGTTATCCACTTCTGTAATCCACTTTTCTGATTCCACTTTTGTGATCCACTTCTGTGATCCACTTCTGTAAACCACTTTTGGGATTCCACTTCTATGATCCACTTCTGTGATCCACTTCTGTGACCCACTTTTGTGATTCAACTTTTATGATCCACTTCTTTGATTCACTTCTGTGATCCACTTCTGTGATCCGCTTCTGTGATCCACTTCTGTAATCTACTTCTATGATCCACTTCTGTGATCCGCTTCTGTGATCCTTTTCTGTAATCTACTTTTGTGATTCCACTTCTGTGATCCACTTCTATGGTCCAATTCTGTGATCCACTTCTGATTCCACTTCTGTGATCCACTTCTACGATCTACTTCTGTGATTCATTTCTGTGATCCACTCCTATGATCCACATCTTTGATTCCACTTCTGTGATCCACTTTTGTGATTCCACTTCTGTGATCCACTTTTGTGATCCACTTCTACGATCTACTTCTGTGATTCATTTCTGTGATCCACTCCTATGATCCACATCTTTGATTCCACTTCTGTGATCCACTTCTGTGATCCTTTTCTGTAATCCAATTTTGTGATTCCACTTCTGTGATCCACTTCTATGGTCCACTTCTGTGATCCACTTCTGATTCCACTTCTGTAATCCACTTCTGTGATCCACTTCTACGATCTACTTCTGTGATTCATTTCTGTGATCCACTCCTATGATCCACATCTTTGATTCCACTTCTGTGATCCACTTCTGTGATTCACTCCTGGGATTCACTTCTATGATCCACTCCTGGGATTCACTTCTATGATCCACTCCTGGGATTCACTTCTGTGATCGACTTCTGTGATTCCACTTCTATGATCCACTTCTGTGATTCACTTCTATGATCCACTCCTGGGATTCACTTCTATGATCCGATTCTATGATCAACTTCTGTGATCGACTTCTGTGATTCCACTTCTGTGATCCACTTCTGTGATTCACTTGAATGATCCACTCCTGGGATTCACTTCTGTGATTCCACTTCTGTGATCCACTTCTGTGATTCCACTTCTGTGATTCACTTCTGTGATTCCACTTCTATGATCCACTTCTGTGATTCACTTCTATGATTCACTTCTATGATCCACTTATGTGATTCATTTCTATGATCCACTTCTGTGATCGACTTCTGTGATTCCACTTATATGATCCACTTCTGTGATTCACTTCTATGATCCACTTCTGTGATCGACTTCTCTGATTCCACTTCTATGATCCACTTCTGTGATTCACTTCTATGATCCACTCCTGGGATTCACTTCTATGATCCACTTCTACTTCCCTGACCTTCATGTCCTTGTTGCAGACTCCAACTTGTTGTTATGACTCCTCCCTTTAATGTCATATACATTCTAGCGTTATGACTCCTCTCTCTAAAGCCACGATACGGTCTACTATTGCGATATGTGACTCCTCATTCATTTGTTATGACCCCTCACACCATTGTCATGACTCCTCCTACTATTGTGATGACACCCCCCTCTACTGCTATGATTTCTCTGTCTATTGCCATGACTTATCTCACTATTGTTATGATTCTTCTGTATATTGTCATGACTCCTCCCTCTTCTACTTTGACTCATGCATCTATGCTCATGACTCCTCCCTGTATTGTCAAGACTCCTTCCTCTATTGTTATGACTCCTCCCTCTACTGCTGTGACTCCTCCATCTATTATCATGACTCCTCCCTATATGGTTATGACTCCTCCCTCTACTGATGACTTCCGTCTATTGTCAAGACTCCTCCCTCTATTGTTATGACTCCTCCCTCTACTGCTGTGACTCCTACATCTATTATCATGACTCCTCCCTATATGGTTATGACTCCTCCCTCTACTGATGACTTCCGTCTATTGTCATGACTCCCCCTATTGCTATGACTCCCCCTTTACTGCTATGACTCATCCGTCTATTGTCACAACTCATCCCTCTATTGCCATGACTCCTCTATTGTCATGTCTCCTCTTACTATTTTCACGACTCCTCTCACTATTGCAATGGCTCCTTCCTCTATTGTCATGACTCCTCTCACTATTGCCATGACTCATCTCACTATTGCCGTGACTCCTCTCACTGTTGCCATGACTCCTCTCACTGTTGTCATGACTGCTTCCTCTATTGCCATGACTCCTCTCACTATTGCCATGACTCATCTCACTATCGCCATAACTCCTTCCTCTATTGTCATGACTCCTCTCACTATTGCCATGACTCATCTCACTTTATTCGTGACTCCTTCCTCTATTGTCATGACTCCTCTCACTATTGCCATGACTCATCTCACTATTGCCGTGACTCCTCTCACTGTTGCCATTACTCCTCTCACTGTTGTCATGACACCTTCCTCTATTGCCATGACTCCTCTCACTATTGCCATGACTCAGCTCACTATTGCCATGACTCCTTCCTCTATTGTCATGACTCCTCTCACTATTGCCATGACTCATCTCACCATTACCGTGACTCCTTCCTCTATTGTCATGACTCCTCTCACTATTGCCATGACTCATCTCACTATTGCCATGACTCATCTCACTATTGCCATGACTCCTTCCTCTATTGTCATGACTCCGATCACTATCGCCATGACTTCTCTCACTATTGCCATGACTCCTTCCTCTGACTCTGCTCACTATTGCCATGACTCCTCTCACTATTGCCATGACTCATCTCACTATTGCTCATGACTCCTTCCTCTATTGTCATGACTCCTTCCTCTATTGTCATGACTCCTTCCTCTATTGCCATGACTCCTCTCACTATTGCCATGACTCAGCTCACTATTGCCATGACTCCTTCCTCTATTGTCATGACTCCTCTCACTATTGCCATGACTCATCTCACCATTACCATGACTCCTTCCTCTATTGTCATGACTCCTCTCACTATTGCCATGACTCATCTCACTATTGCCATGACACCTTCCTCTATTGTCATGACTCCGATCACTATCGCCATGACTTCTCTCACTATTGCCATGACTCCTTCCTCTGACTCTGCTCACTATTGCCATGACTCCTCTCACTATTGCCATGACTCATCTCACTATTGCTCATGACTCCTTCCTCTATTCTCATGACTCCTTCCTCTATTGTCATGACTCCTCTCACTATTGCCATGACTCATCTCACTATTGCCATGACTCATCTCACTCTTGCCATGACTCCTTCCTCTATTGTCATGACTCCACTCACTATTGCCATGACTTCTCTCACTATTGCCATGACTCCTTCCTCTATTGTCATGACTCTGCTCACTATTGCCATGACTCCTCTCACTATTGCCATGACTCATCTCACTATTGCCATGACTCCTTCATTTATTGTCATGACTCCGCTCACTATTGCCATGACTCCTCTCACTATTGCCATGACTCATCTCACTATTGCCATGACTCCTTCTTCTATTGTCATTACCCCGCTCACTATTGCCATGACTCCGCTCACTATTGCCATGACTCCTCTCACTCTTGCCATGACTCATCTCACTATTGCCATGACCCCTTCCTCTATTGTCATGACTCCGCTCACTATTGCCATGACTCCTCTCACTATTGCTATGACTCATCTCAGTATTGCCATGACTCCTTCCTCTATTGTCATGACTCCGCTCACTATTGCCATGACTCCTCTCACTATTGATATGACTCATCTCACTATTGTCATGACTCCTTCCTCTATTGTCATGACTCCTCTCGCTATTGCCATGAATGACTCCTCTCACTATTGCCATGACTCATCTCACTATTATCATGACTCCTACCTCTATTGTCATGACCCCCGCTCACCTGCCATGACTCCTTCCTCTATTGTCATGACACCACTCACTATTGCCATGACTCCTCTCACTATTGCCATGACTCCTTCCTCTATTGCCATGACTCCTCTCACTATTGCCATGACTCCCCTCACTATTGCCATGACTCCTTCCTCTATTGTCATTACTCTGCTCACTATTGCCATGACTCCGCTCACTATTGCCATGACTCCTCTCACTCTTGCCAAGACTGATCTCACTTTGCTCATGACTCCTCCCTCTATTGTCAAGACTCCTCCCTCTACTGCTGTGACTCCTCCATCTATTATCATGACTCCTCCCTATATGGTTATGACTCCCCCTCTACTGCTATGACTCATCCGTCTATTGTCATGACTCCTCCCTCTATTGCCATGACTCCTCTATTGTCATTACTCCGCTCACTATTGCCATGACTCCGCTCACTATCGCCACGACTCCTCGCACTCTTGTCATGACTCCTCTTATTTTTTCCATGACTCCTCTCACTATTGCCATGACTCATCTCACTATTGCCGTGACTCCTCTCACTGTTGTCATGACTCCTTCCTCTATTTCCATGACTCCTCTCACTATTGCCATGACTCAGCTCACTATTGCATGACTCCTTCCTCTATTGTCATGACTCCTCTCACTATTGCCATGACTCATCTCACTATTACCGTGACTCCTTCCTCTATTGTCATGACTCCTCTCACTATTGCCATGACTCATCTCACTATTGCCATGACTCATCTCACTATTGCCATCACTACTTCCTCTATTGTCATGACTCCGCTCACTTTTGCCATGACTCCTCTCACTATTGCCATGACTCAACTCACTATTGCCATGACTCCTTCCTCTATTGTCATGACTCGGCTCACTATTGCCATGACTTCGCTCACTATTGATATGACTCATCTCACTATTGTCATGAATCCTTCCTCTATTGTCATGACTCCTCTCACTATTGCCATGACTCCTTCCTCTATTGTCATGACTCCTCTCACTATTGCCATGACTCATCTCACCATTACCATGACTCCTTCCTCTATTGTCATGACTCCTCTCACTATTGCCATGACTGATCTCACTATTGCCATGACTCATCTCACTATTGCCATGACTCCTTCCTCTATTGTCATGACTCCGATCACTATCGCCATGACTTCTCTCACTATTGCCATGACTCCTTCCTCTGACTCTGCTCACTATTGCCATGACTCCTCTCACTATTGCCATGACTCATCTCACTATTGCTCATGACTCCTTCCTCTATTCTCATGACTCCTTCCTCTATTGTCATGACTCCTCTCACTATTGCCATGACTCATCTCACTATTGCCATGACTCATCTCACTCTTGCCATGACTCCTTCCTCTATTGTCATGACTCTGCTCACTATTGCCATGACTCCTCTCACTATTGCCATGACTCATCTCACTATTGCCATGACTCCTTCATTTATTGTCATGACTCCGCTCACTATTGCCATGACTCCTCTCACTATTGCCATGACTCATCTCACTATTGCCATGACTCCTTCTTCTATTGTCATTACCCCGCTCACTATTGCCATGACTCCGCTCACTATTGCCATGACTCCTCTCACTCTTGCCATGACTCATCTCACTATTGCCATGACTCCTTCCTCTATTGTCATGACTCCGCTCACTATTGCCATGACTCCTCTCACTATTGCTATGACTCATCTCAGTATTGCCATGACTCCTTCCTCTATTGTCATGACTCCGCTCAATATTGCCATGACTCCTCTCACTATTGATATGACTCATCTCACTATTGTCATGACTCCTTCCTCTATTGTCATGACTCCTCTCGCTATTGCCATGAATGACTCCTCTCACTATTGCCATGACTCATCTCACTATTATCATGACTCCTACCTCTATTGTCATGACCCCCGCTCACCTGCCATGACTCCTTCCTCTATTGTCATGACACCACTCACTATTGCCATGACTCCTCTCACTATTGCCATGACTCCTTCCTCTATTGCCATGACTCCTCTCACTATTGCCATGACTCCCCTCACTATTGCCATGACTCCTTCCTCTATTGTCATTACTCTGCTCACTATTGCCATGACTCCGCTCACTATTGCCATGACTCCTCTCACTCTTGCCAAGACTGATCTCACTTTGCTCATGACTCCTCCCTCTATTGTCAAGACTCCTCCCTCTACTGCTGTGACTCCTCCATCTATTATCATGACTCCTCCCTATATGGTTATGACTCCCCCTCTACTGCTATGACTCATCCGTCTATTGTCATGACTCCTCCCTCTATTGCCATGACTCCTCTATTGTCATTACTCCGCTCACTATTGCCATGACTCCGCTCACTATCGCCACGACTCCTCGCACTCTTGTCATGACTCCTCTTATTTTTTCCATGACTCCTCTCACTATTGCCATGACTCATCTCACTATTGCCGTGACTCCTCTCACTGTTGTCATGACTCCTTCCTCTATTGCCATGACTCCTCTCACTATTGCCATGACTCAGCTCACTATTGCATGACTCCTTCCTCTATTGTCATGACTCCTCTCACTATTGCCATGACTCATCTCACTATTACCGTGACTCCTTCCTCTATTGTCATGACTCCTCTCACTATTGCCATGACTCATCTCACTATTGCCATGACTCATCTCACTATTGCCATCACTACTACCTCTATTGTCATGACTCCGCTCACTTTTGCCATGACTCCTCTCACTATTGCCATGACTCAACTCACTATTGCCATGACTCCTTCCTCTATTGTCATGACTCGGCTCACTATTGCCATGACTTCGCTCACTATTGATATGACTCATCTCACTATTGTCATGAATCCTTCCTCTATTGTCATGACTCCTCTCGCTATTGCCATGACTGACTCCTCTCACAATTGCCATGACTCATCTCACTATTATCATGACTCCTACCTCTATTGTCATGACTCCGCTCACCTGCCATGACTCCTTCCTCTATTGTCATGACACCACTCACTATTGCCATCACTCCTCTCACTATTGCCATGAGTCATCTTACTATTGCCATGACTCCTTCCTCTATTGTCATGACTCCGCTCACTATCGCCATGACTCCTTCCTCTATTGTCATGACTCCTCTCACTATTGCCATGAATCCTTCCACTATTGTCATGACTCCGCTCACTATCGCCATGACTCCTCTCACTGTTGCCATGACTCATCTCACTATCGCCATGACTCCTTCCTCTATTGTCATGACTCCTCTCACTATTGCCATGAATCCTTCCACTATTGTCATGACTCCGCTCACTATCGCCATGACTCCTCTCACTGTTGCCATGACTCATCTCACTATTGCCATGACTCCTTCCTCTATTGTCATTACTCTGCTCACTATTGCCATGACTCCGCTCACTATTGCCATGACTCCTCTCACTCTTGCCATGACTCATCTCACTATTGCCTTGACTCCTTCCTCTATTGTCATGACTCCGCTCACTATTGCCATGACTCCTCTCACTATTGCCATGACTCATCTCACTATTGCCATGACTCCTTCCTCTATTGTCATGACTCCGCTCACTATTGCCATGACTCCTCTCACTTTGATATGACTCATCTCACTATTGTCATGACTCCTTCCTCTATTGTCATGACTCCTCTCGCTATGGCCATGACTGACTCCTCTCACTATTGCCATGACTCATCTCACTATTATCATGACTCCTACCTCTATTGTCATGACTCCGCTCACCTGCCATGACTCCTTCCTCTATTGTCATGACACCTCTCACTATTGCCATGACTCCTCTCACTATTGCCATGAGTCATCTTACTATTGCCATGACTCCTTCCTCTATTGTCATGACTCCGCTCACTATCGCCATGACTCCTTCCTCTATTGTCATGACTCCTTCCTCTATTGTCATGACTCCGCTCACTATCGCCATGACTCCTTCCTCTATTGTCATGACTCTGCTCACTATTGCCATGACTGCTCTCACTATTGCCATGACTCATCTCACTATTGCCATGACTCCTTCCTCTATTATCATGACTCCTCTGACAATTGCCATGACTCATCTCACTATTGCCATGACTCCTTCCTCTATTGTCATGACTCCGCTCACTATTGCCATGACTCAGCTCACTATTGCCATGACTCAGCTCACTATTGCCATGACTCATCTCACTATTGCCATGACTCCTTCCTCTATTATCATGACTCCTCTGACAATTGCCATGACTCATCTCACTATTGCCATGACTCCTTCCTCTATTGTCATGACTCCGCTCACTATTGCCATGACTCAGCTCACTATTGCCATGACTCAGCTCACTATTGCCATGACTCATCTCACTATTGCCATGACTCCTTCCTCTATTGTCATGACTCCGCTCACTATCGCCATGACTCTTTCCTCTATTGTCATGACTCCGCTCGCTATTGCCATGACTCCACTCACTATTGCCATGACTCCTTCCTCTATAGTCATGACTCCGCTCACTATTGCCATGACTCCTTCCTCTATTGTCATGACTCCGCTTACTATTGCCATGACTCCCCTCACTATTGCCATGACTCCTTCCTCTATTGTCATGACTCCGCTCACTATTGCCATGACTCCTTCCACTATTGCCATGACTCCTCTCACTATTGCCATGACTCATCTCACTATTGCCATGACTCCTTCCTCTATTGCCATGACTCCTTCCTCTATTGATATGACTTCTTCCATATTGTCATGACTCCTTTCCCTATTGTCATGGCTCCTTTCACCATTGTCATGACTCCTCTCACTATTGCCATGATTCCTTCCTCTATTGTCACGACTCCTCTTTCTATTGCCATGGCTCCCCCTTTTCCTTAAATTATGACTTCTCGTGTTTTTTCAGCAACCCATGCGTGTTGTAAGAGGCGACTAACGGGATCGGGTGTTCAGACCCGCTGACTTGGTTGAGGCATGTCTTTGTATCACAAATGCGTGGATTGATGCTCATGCTGTTGTAGCAGGGCGTGGAGTCATCCCACAGATGACATCCTTACCTTGTCAGCTTGCTGACGGGGTTTAACCTCTTTGGTCACGTGGACAAGGCGTCCGACCTCGGATTGTGGATTGTCTGGTCCAGACTCGTTTATTTACAGACAGCCGTCATATAGATGGAATATGCTGAGTGCAGCGTTAAACAACAAACAAAAACACAAACATTTAATGTCTATCATGTCCAGATGAACGGGTCAGATCGTATTAGCACTATTTAAAGTGAATAGCGATGTTTTAAGTTGCTGATTAAGCTGTCGCTTGCGGAAACCGATGTGGATCTAAATCTAGATTTATATCACCTATAAACTCCATCTGCTTGGATTTTCATCTTCCTTTGGGGCAGATGCAGATGTTTCACTCGGCCGTAATAAGAAATATTGCTATATCTTCTTTTGCAAAGTCAACGGATCTGTAAACCAATTTATATAAAAAGAATCGCCTTATCAAGTTGATAAATTTGGAAACATATGACTATCTGGGTAAGCTGCGATGATTAGAGGCAGGCAAATGTATTTCAGTATGTTTAAGACTTTCGGCCGAAAATTGTGTATCATAATATCATGTATGCTATATATATGTATGTAATATGCTATATTGTAGTACATAATGTTCACTACATTCACTGTTAGCCTGACATTGCTCTGTTAAGTAATTGATCTTTTCCATTGGCCTGTAGCAAGTAACTGGTTGGAATTTCATTAATAGTTCATTTTCGAAGTCCGCTATAAAACTGACTACCATGTAAAAGGTGATACTCGTCTTTAAAAGCGACAATGTTTTTCCCGATGCAGACTTAACATCTCTTCTCTATTATACAACAGAACAACGAGGACGCTGACTCATATGGCTGTGACATGCGGCAGATATTGCTGGTAACTATTGCAGATACGAGTCCGTGTGCACAATGGCTTGTTCTGAGAGCGACACAGAAAGATTCAGTTTTAATGAACGTCTCAAGAGTGCTATAGCTCGCGAGTTCAAACGGCGGGTCGACCCACGCTTGTTGAATGATGCGCTGTCACTCAAAGTGAGGCTCACAGAGAGACATGAGGTAAGTGGGGCGGCATCACAGTTGGCGTATTGTAACCTACACACGTAATTTAAACACATTTCCAAAATCTTCTCTGAAACCACAAGGCCTATGTAGGCCAAGAACTTTGTATGAATGATCCCAGCTAGTGGGGCAAGCATCGTCCTTTGACCACATTGACTTCCGACACGTACAAATATGTCATTTCTTCTCCACCGATTTACCTGGAACCGTCAACAAGGACATATTTCCCGTCGTACTATTTTGGGCTCGTGGCCCAATCAGTAAATCAGTGTGTATTTGAATTACCGTATTACCTGAATTTGAGGAATTTAGAAATTTAACATTTTCTTTAATCTTCCTCAGGATGAAATGAGGGCCAAGCTTGGCAGCGAGGGAAGATGGGTAGCTTGTGATTATCTGTTTCATCAACTCGTCAAGAAGACGGACTGGTTCAAACATCTTCTCAAAGCGTTGGCTGATCCTTCCGTTGGATTGGCAGATTTTGCTGACTTCTGCAGACAAAAAGAAGGTATCTTTTTTCTTTTGTCATTGCGGTCACTTGTTGCAAAATAAAAGTTCTTTACATCGCAGTCCCTGGTAGGCGTCTGTATTTTATGACCTGGTTAAGGGATCACCGACCCTAAATTTCACAAATGTTGATACGCTGTTTTATATCAAATTTTACCTTAATAACTCAAGGTTGTAATAATCACTTTGAAAGATTTTAAAAATTTCTACTTCGACCACCGCCCCTTTGTTTTTGAGAAAGAATCAGTAAATAAGGTTATGAAAAATGAAGGCCTTATCTAATTATTAGTAAATAGACAAAATATTATTATTGTTATTATTATAATAATAATTATTAGTATTATTATTTACATGAGAGTAAATAATTTCTGACTACACGTGTGTATTTAAAAAATAACATCAAATAATTCTGAAGACTTCGAGCTTGCCAAAATTATTTCACTCGGGATATAATTCCTCGTAGAGCACAGGCTGTTCTCTAAATATACATACACCAAAGGTCGTTAAACCTTAACCATATTCAAACCTTAAACTCGGAAAAAATGTTGTATTTTTATGTTACAGCCTACATAAATAGCGTCTCCGGGGATTGTACGACTGATAACGATGATGACGACGTTAAAAGGGCAGTGGACGAAATAGACGGACCCCCAAGACAGAGTCAAGGACGATTCACAAACACACGCTCGACAGTGCGTGACTCATCTGATAGCGATGACTACGAACCTATGTGTCCGCCCATCTACGAAAATGAAGAACCTTATGATGATGCCAGATCGCTCCCTTACCCTACCCAGAACGTCATGTGGGTAGGTGTGACCCCTCCTCCCACCCAGGCAGTCATTAGGGCAGGTGTGACCCCTCCTCCCACCCAGGAAGTCATTAGGGCAAGTGTGACCCCTCCTCCCACCAATGCAGTCATTAGGGTAGGTGTGACCCCTCCTCCCACCCAGGAAGTCATTAGGGTAGGTGTGACCCCTCCTCTCACCCAGACAGTAATTAGGGTAGGTGTGACCCCTCCTCCCATCCAGGCGGTCATTTGGGTAGGTGTGACCCCTCCTCCCACCCAGGCGGTCATTAGGGTAGGTGTGACCCCTCCTCCCACCCAGGATGTCATTAGGGTAGGTGTGACCCCTCCTCCCACCCAGGATGTCATTAGGGTAGGTGTGACCCCTCCTCCCACCCAGGCGGTCATTAGGGTAGGTGTGACCCCTCCTCCCACCCAGGATGTCATTAGGGTAGGTGTGACCCCTCCTCCCACCCAGGATGTCATTAGGGTAGGTGTGACCCCTCCTCCCATCCAGGCGGTCATTTGGGTAGGTGTGACCCCTCCTCCCACCCAGGCGGTCATTAGGGTAGGTGTGACCCCTCCTCCCACCCAGGCGGTCATTAGGGTAGGTGTGACCCCTCCTCCCATCCAGGCGGTCATTAGGGTAGGTGTGACCCCTCCTCCCACCCAGGCAGTTATTAGGGTAGGTGTGACCCCTCCTCCCACCCAGGCGGTCATTAGGGTAGGTGTGACCCCTCCTCCCACCCAGGCAGTTATTAGGGTAGGTGTGACCCCTCCTCCCACCCAGGCGGTCATTAGGGTAGGTGTGACCCCTCCTCCCATCCAGGCGGTCATTAGGGTAGGTGTGACCCCTCCTCCCACCCAGGCGGTCATTAGGGTAGGTGTGACCCCTCCTCCCATCCAGGCGGTCATTAGGGTAGGTGTGACCCCTCCTCCCATCCAGGCGGTCATTAGGGTATGTGTGACCCCTCCTCCCACCCAGGAAGTCATAAGGGTAGGTGTGACCCCTCCTCCCACCCAGGATGTCATTAGGGTAGGTGTGACCCCTCCTCCCACCCAGGAAGTCATAAGGGTAGGTGTGACCCCTCCTCCCACCCAGGATGTCATTAGGGTAGGTGTGACCCCTCCTCCCATCCAGGCAGTTATTAAGGTAGGTGTGACCCCTCCTCCCACCCAGGCGGTCATTAGGGTAGGTGTGACCCCTCCTCCCACCCAGGCAGTTATTAAGGTAGGTGTGACCCCTCCTCCCACCCAGGATGTCATTAGGGTAGGTGTGACCCCTCCTCCCATCCAGGCGGTCATTTGGGTAGGTGTGACCCCTCCTCCCACCCAGGCGGTCATTAGGGTAGGTGTGACCCCTCCTCCCACCCAGGATGTCATTAGGGTAGGTGTGACCCCTCCTCCCACCCAGGCGGTCATTAGGGTAGGTGTGACCCCTCCTCCCACCCAGGCGGTCATTAGGGTAGGTGTGACCCCTCCTCCCATCCAGGCGGTCATTAGGGTAGGTGTGACCCCTCCTCCCACCCAGGAAGTCATTAGGGTAGGTGTGACCCCTCCTCCCACCCAGGATGTCATTAGGGTAGGTGTGACCCCTCCTCCCATCCAGGCAGTTATTAAGGTAGGTGTGACCCCTCCTCCCACCCAGGATGTCATTAGGGTAGGTGTGACCCCTCCTCCCACCCAGGATGTCATTAGGGTAGGTGTGACCCCTCCTCCCATCCAGGCAGTTATTAAGGTAGGTGTGACCCCTCCTCCCACCCAGGATGTCATTAGGGTAGGTGTGACCCCTCCTCCCACCCAGGCGGTCATTAGGGTAGGTGTGACCCCTCCTCCCACCCAGGCAGTTATTAAGGTAGGTGTGACCCCTCCTCCCACCCAGGATGTCATTAGGGTAGGTGTGACCCCTCCTCCCATCCAGGCGGTCATTTGGGTAGGTGTGACCCCTCCTCCCACCCAGGCGGTCATTAGGGTAGGTGTGACCCCTCCTCCCACCCAGGATGTCATTAGGGTAGGTGTGACCCCTCCTCCCACCCAGGCGGTCATTAGGGTAGGTGTGACCCCTCCTCCCACCCAGGAAGTCATTAGGGTAGGTGTGACCCCTCCTCCCACCCAGGAAGTCATAAGGGTAGGTGTGACCCCTCCTCCCACCCAGGATGTCATTAGGGTAGGTATGACCCCTCCTCTCACCCAGACAGTAATTAGGGTAGGTGTGACCCCTCTTCCCACCCAGGAAGTAATTAGGGTAGGTTTGACCCCCTCCTCCCACCCAGGCAGTTATTAAGGTAGGTGTGACCTCCCTCCCACCCCAGTCATTGGGGTAGACGTGACCCCTCCTACCACCCAGACAGTCATTAGGGTAGGTGTGACCCCTCCTCCAACCCAGACAGTCATGTGGGTAGATGTGACCCCTCCTCCAACCAAGGCAGTCATTGGGGTAGGTGTGACCCCTCCTCCCATCCAGGCAGTCATTAGGGTAGACAGTGATTAGGAAAGGTGTGACCCCTCCTCCCACCCAGACAGTGATTAGGATAGGTGTGACCCCTCTTACCATCTTACCACCCAGACAGTCATTTGGGAAGATGTGACCCCTCTTTCCACCCAGCAGGTCATCTGGGTAAATCCCCCCACCAAGGCAGTCGTTAGGGTAGGTGTGACCCCCCCTCCCACCCAGCAGGTCATCTGGGTAAATGTGACCCCTCCTCCAACCCATAAGCTCATATGGGTAGGTATGACACCACCCCCCACCCAGCATATCATTTGAGTAGGTATGATTCCTCATCCCACGCAATCAGACATCGGGGTGGGTCGTACTTCTCATCCTAGCCTGTAAGCAAGTCTCGTGTCCTGTGAAATGACAGAACTGATACACTCGTGTACATGTACTATTGACACAGATATAACTTGACGTCAAAAAGAAACTTTACCAGAGTTTGAAATCACTCTTGATCAAAAACAACAAAACATACATGCATGAAGTAAAGTGTATTGAGAAGATCAATATATCAACATAATCAACACTGAAACTGACAATCATACCGCGATTGAGAATGACGTCAGAGCCCCCCAAAATTGGGTGGCTCCCATCTGAACTATACCCAAGGCTCGTTCACGTTGTTCGACTGTGAGTCGTGGCATTTCTTTTGTGTGTTTTTTTACCACTGTGGATGTCTGGCTTGCCGTTGCAATCGTTTTATACCCTTACCCGCACGTGCATTTGCAGTTGTCCGTGGTGCTCGTGTTTTTCACTTTTTCGCGAGTTATCTCGCAAACATGTAACAGACGATTAACATTTTCTGCATACACTATTGTTGTATTCAGGTTATGTGTTTTAGATAGACATCATCGAAAAAAAATTTATGCTCTGTCTGAAATTTATATTTTCAGTTGGTAAAGTTTCTTTTGGACGTCAGTTTATTTACGTATTTGCGTTTCTTGGACGTGAATAGCAACATTCATTAATAATGGATGCGAATACAAACGTGCTTTTTTGTGTATTTTCTTCCTTCCAGGGAAGTTCTAAAGACCGACATGGAGGAGGTCAAGGCAGAACACGGCCAAGGTCAGAATGGAGAAACAGAATAATAAACTGCTTTTAAGGCTTTTTTAAGACCATTTTCCACTGCTTCAAGGCGTACAATTCTTGTTATATTATGTTTTATGAAACAATTCACCACTCCTCCCACATCCATTAAAATAAGTTAATAGGATTTTACAATATACACCAAAGATAATCATTAGCTATATTCATTTTGCATTTTTTTCTGCAGACACAATGTGTATGTAAGTTACATAAAACACATATGCGAATTAGGATTGCACAGATATGGAATTGTTGGAAGTAGAGAGTGTACAAATCTATGTATGTGAAGGACCCTTCATTGCTATTTTCCGCCGTGATATTGCTGGAATATTGCTAAAAGCGGCGTAAAACCGTACTCACTCACTCATTGCTATTTTTACAGCACAATTCAGGACAGGAAAGCTGCAGATCAAATTTCTCTATCGCCAAGTGAACACTACTACAGCAGCATAGCGTGCACCAGCGTTACTGCATCGGGACGTCACCAAGAATCAATTGGTACGACACGGGGCGGAGTTATGTCATCACGTAGTACCCCGACACGTCCGAATCCTTCTGCTGTGACACAACGTGTCAGTGACGGGTACACATTCATTTCAAGTAGGGGCAGTGCCTCAATGGTTCGACCAGCAACCAGTTCAAGGGAAGGTGTTCCAGATAGATCCCCACAACAATACAGGGATATCACCACAAACACGAAGACACCCGTTGCCAGGGACACCAATACCCAAAACGTAGGCCAACCATTGAGGAGAGCCGGACCCTCGTTGGTAAGTCCATCTTCCGGTACGTCACGTGGCAGGTCACGTGATGACGAGAATACACAACATAGTGGTGTTAAGTCGGCTCTTCCATCTCTAAGTTCAAGCCTAGGTGGTCCACAACCTTCATCCGGATATTACAATGAAGACCCTCAGACATTTGTTTCTACGACTGCTAATGCCGGGTCCATGAACCGGCCGTCAGGGAACGTTGACACCTCGTTACGGCCAAGGAACACCTCAAAGGAATGTGAGGAAGACAACACTTGCAGTTATAACAAAATACGTCAGGAGGACGTCAGTAGCAGGAGTCGTAGTGCGAAGGGGTCTAGGCCTCAGGGGTATGACCTGACGTCACCTCACATTGGCGACGGGATACAACCTATGCCACAGTCTAGTGTACCGTCTCGCCAGGCATCGACGTATTACAATCTCAACAGAGGAGACTTGTTAAGGGTAGGTACCTCTCTATACTTTAAGGTTAAAGACAGAACCGACGCTTGGCACATATGGACCGACCAGTTGATATCGAGGGCGTGGTGGTGGCGGTGGTATATATATATATAATGTATATGAAGCACAGTAAAGTTCTAACTCTCAGGCAGAAAATATAGTGATAATTAAATAAGTGGTGTAAGATTGAAGGTGTAGGTATGACCCCTCCTCCCATCCAGGAAGTCACACTCACACACACACTCACACACACACACACACACACACACACACACACACACACACACACACACACACACACACACACACACACACACACACACACACACACATACATATCTGTGTGTGTGTGTGTGTGTCTATCTCCATACCAAATCCAACCCTCTCTCTCTCTCAGATGAGTTTTTATATTTAAAACTGTGAGTCTGGTGTTTTTTAAGAACAATTTCACCTTTGTGGCAGGTATTTTCTCTTCCCGACCCCTGCATATCAAATCATCGGTCACTAAATGGGCAAAAGTCATATCTGGGTGCATATTTGAATAGTTGACGTTATCGCTCGTGTACCATCTTCGCTAGGCAAGGGAGTTCACTGACTGTAAAAGTCCAATATCCACCCTTGCCGAATAAGGCTGGAATTTCTGGGCTCGATCGTAGCGCCACCAGTGGTTATTACGAGTTATGTCCCTTGTAAGCCTCTCCTTTGGACCAAACAGATTCCAACTCTCGTTTCACTTGCATTTGTTTCAAACAAAATGGCGGCCCCCGGCCAAGAAGATCTGATCGATAAAACGGGTCTTACCTCGCGAAGTGCCTAAAATCACGTGAGCACCTTGATTAAAAACGTGAAAAGACTTGGAAAATATCTGTTGACAATGAGTTGGTGGTGCACATGTTTTGCAAATCATGTAATCGACAGTTTACTAACCGGATTTCGATTTCGGTGCGCGATTTTCATAGGACTATTCATAGACTCGTTAGTCCAGCCAAAATGTAAATCCATAATATCAGCCTCCTTTGGCAAGGGTGCAAACCAGACTTGTATAGTCAGTTAACTCCCATGCCTCGGGAAGATGCTCGTGAACCTGCATACATGTATGTGAAGGTTCTTTCAAGATGTATAATGTAGCATCGTGTACTGAAATGGACGTAACGACATGTCTTAAATCTTGAAAGAAAGTTATGAAAATGTTAACCCACGAATAGTCTGCCTCAATGTCCAACTCAAGAATGATTTGCCAAATCTACATTGCATCAGTTCTAGACTGAAATTAAGCATTATCTGGGCATTATTCAGATTTAATTATTTTTTATTTTGTAAATGTACACTCTTCAAACAAAGAAACGCACAGGTAGATTTCTAGTAAATTTATTGAACCTAAAAAAGTCAATATATTTAAATCAATATCATAGATACAAATATGAAATTTTGAAGCTCGATACATACGTTGTCGTTGTACAAAGGCATTGAAAACTGTTCATTGTCATGTAACATAACGCCACAAGGGTGCGCTGAACTCAGTATCTCGTGTGACTGCTCCGGGCAGCAATCACGTCTCTGCATCTGCTCGGTAGTGCCTGGATAAGTGTATAAATTCTGTCCTGCGGAATTTTGCGCCACTCTGCTTGTAACGCGTTGGCCAGTTGTGGGAGTGTCTGCGGCTTGTTCTGACGTTGACGTACACGTCGATCGAGTTCATCACAGAGGTGCTCGATTGGGTTGGGATCTGGAGACCTCGACGGCCAGGGCAAGGCGTTGATGTTGAAATTATGAAGGTAGTCTCCCCTGACACGAGCTGTGTGCAGTGGAGCGTTGTCCTGTTGAAACAGCTCCCTCTGGCGGTCAATGATTGGAAGAAGGTGATGTTTCGACGACGTTGTCCTCCATGTCGCCGGTGAAGAAGAAATCGTGGTTCATAGCTAAACTACACTCGTTTCGAGTTTCTCAAATTCTAAGGCTCTAAGGTATGGTACCAACGAAAGCGTCGCTGCCGATGGATCTGTTGCAAAAGAGGGACGAAAATTTGTCTTCTGGGTCGGATTCCAGCCTCGCGAAGATGGTTCCTGACAGTCTCGGCTAATATCCTCCTCAAACCAGGGATGCGTCCTGCAGTCTCCGTAGCTGTGGCATTGCGATGGCGTAGGTGGAACAGTCGAATGTAGCGATCGTGTGCAGGGGTGGTAACTCTTGGTCGGCCGGTTGTCGGGCGGTCTGCAGTGGAATTGAACTGTGTGTATCGGTCCCAAAGGCGGCAAATGGTGCTGTGGGGGACGTTGAATGGCGTGCAACAGAAGACTCTTATCCCCATCTTTGGATACGTCCTATGGCGATGTTCCGATTGGCAGCGCTGAATCTTGGCATTTTCTAACTTGAAAAATCTTGACAAGTGAAAGACAGGTTCTTGGCTTATGCTTGCCTTTTTAAAGTTACTACCACGGGTTACAAATGCCATAACTTGCACGTGCATTTTGTTTTACTGTTTTCCTCCGTGACATTTTGGAACAAGTGTGGAAACAATGCCGTTTAAGACACTGCCAATCGACAATGGCTGCGTTTTGACGTACTGTTTGTCGAATATCAGGCCACCAACATTTTCCAATAACATATATCAAATATATATACAGGATATTTTCGTGTAATCAGGTTCAATGAACTACTACCACCTGTGCATTTCATTTTTTGAAGAGTGTATATGTTTAAATAAAATAACTTTATTTCTAAATCGAGTTGTAAATCCTTGTACGTGCATTGTGTAACGTAACGCCTGTGTAACGTTTATGTTTCACAATGGTCCTAACGAGGGACTCTCACCACTAGCTTGAGTACTAGTCTACTGTCTACGTCTAGTTTCTCGAGGCAAGGGAGTTAAGTAACTGTAAATGTTTACTTCGCGAAGTGCAGCACATCACGTGAGCACCTTGATGAAAAGAAAAGAAAAAGAAGCTTTGCAAATCCTGTAATCAGCCGAAATCTACATGTCAGTTTAAGAACCGGATGTCGAATTCGTTACGCGATTTTGATTGGACTAGGCATAGACTCGTTAGCCCAGACAAAATATAAGTACATAATTCCAGCGTAGTTCCGTAAGGGATGAAACTGGACTTTTATTGTCAGTTAACTCCCCTGTCCCCGGGAAGATGTCTCCGTCCAAATTTTGAAAGTAGTGACTCGTATTAAACTGACATGTCGTCTCCGTCCCTGTCTCTAATAGCTAACTGCTAGATCGATATGCACACTTTGAGTTTACGAATGCACAAAGCGGGCTTTGAATGACTTAGAAACACTTACTGGGACTGCCAAAGCCCAGTCCCCCAGTAGACATAATACGGCTTTGTGCAGGCGGGCCTTAAGCACACAGGTGTTATACGTTTACCACGAGCACTGTCATGGAGCTGACGGACCCAGAATCATAACAGGAATGATACTCTGGGAGTCTAACCCACAACCAATGGACCATTGCACGGCTAATAAGCACGAGTTAGCAAACCGTTCACCCATAAACATACTTAGAGCGTCTTTAATCACATCTACGAAACAATTAAATCACAAGTTGTTTGCCAGCCTTATGCAGAAAAAAAGATGTACATGTAGGCAAAATGTGAATGTTCGCTCAAAGCATGAGATGTAGCTACGATGAACACCATTCAAAGTGTCACCAGTACTCGAAGCAGTGCGTCTTTTAGTTCCCATGGAAACGTTTTCTCTTATAGAATTTTTCTTTCTTTCTCATCCTACCGACCTTATTTTCACTACAGAAACCTTTTTTTTTCGAAAGGTCCAATTTTAATTCTTATTTATATTTCGACCACTGACTGTCCCAAGTGTTTAGAACAATCTTTATACATAGCCAAAAATGATGTTTGTGAATATACATCGCTGACAGCGTGTAAACGTATAATCATGTTACTGTTAAATAGACGGCGTCTGATTCAACACGGGATGCAACCTATACTGATTGCATGTCAAAAGGTGGAGACGACTTCATACGAGCGGAGGTGGAGAAAGAGTCTCGCATACCAACCACAAACGGTGCGCAGGTGGGTTAAACTGAGAGGCATTGCATCAACCAAGTCAGGGAACCTGACCACCCGATCACGTTAGTCGCCTCTTACAGCAAGCTGAAGACCTATTCTAACCCGGATCTTCACGGGTACAGTCCTGTTTATCTGCGTGACAGAGGCATCGTAAAATATGTGATAAATATAAGGAACACAGTTCCACAACTCGACACAGGGCAAATGTGTCCTAGAAGAGCCACATTAATTATACTGATTCAGAATAGCACATATTTAGGGTGTAGACGTTTTCTATACATTGTAAACAGTGGGTCTATTGTTGCATAGACACCGGATGGAGGCAACTTCACACGAGAGGAGGTGGACACAGAGTTGGCCCGCTTCCCCGGCTACATACCAACCATCACAGATGTCGAGGTAGGTAACACTGTAGAGTACTGGGGCTCCATACCAACCATCACAGATGTCGAGGTAGGTAACACTGTAGAGTACTGGGGCTCCATACCAACCCACACAGATGCCGAGGTAGGTAACACTGTAGAGTACTGGGGCTCCATACCAACCATCACAGATGCCGAGGTAGGTAACACTGTAGAGTACTGGGGCTCCATACCAACCATCACAGATGCCGAGGTAGGTAACACTGTAGAGTACTGGGGCTCCATACCAACCATCACAGATGCCGAGGTAGGTAACACTGTAGAGTACTGGGGCTCCATACCAACCATCACAGATGCCGAGGTAGGTAACACTGTAGGAGATATGGGGCTACATACCAACCATCACAGATGCCGAGGTAGGTAACACTGTAGAGTACTGGGGCTCCATACCAACCATCACAGATGCCGAGGTAGGTAACACTGTAGAGTACTGGGGCTCCATACCAACCATCACAGATGCCGAGGTAGGTAACACTGTAGAGTACTGGGGCTCCATACCAACCATCACAGATGCCGAAGTAGGTAACACTGTAGGAGATATGGGGCTACATACCAACCATCACAGATGCCGAGGTAGGTAACACTGTAGAGTACTGGGGCTCCATACCAACCATCACAGATGTCGAGGTAGGTAACACTGTAGGAGATATGGGGCTACATACCAACCATCACAGATGCCGAGGTAGGTAACACTGTAGAGTACTGGGGCTCCATACCAACCATCACAGATGTCGAGGTAGGTAACACTGTAGAGTACTGGGGCTCCATACCAACCCACACAGATGCCGAGGTAGGTAACACTGTAGAGTACTGGGGCTCCATACCAACCATCACAGATGCCGAGGTAGGTAACACTGTAGAGTACTGGGGCTCCATACCAACCATCACAGATGCCGAGGTAGGTAACACTGTAGAGTACTGGGGCTCCATACCAACCATCACAGATGCCGAGGTAGGTAACACTGTAGAGTACTGGGGCTCCATACCAACCATCACAGATGCCGAGGTAGGTAACACTGTAGGAGATATGGGGCTACATACCAACCATCACAGATGCCGAGGTAGGTAACACTGTAGAGTACTGGGGCTCCATACCAACCATCACAGATGCCGAGGTAGGTAACACTGTAGAGTACTGGGGCTCCATACCAACCATCACAGATGCCGAGGTAGGTAACACTGTAGAGTACTGGGGCTCCATACCAACCATCACAGATGCCGAAGTAGGTAACACTGTAGGAGATATGGGGCTACATACCAACCATCACAGATGCCGAGGTAGGTAACACTGTAGAGTACTGGGGCTCCATACCAACCATCACAGATGTCGAGGTAGGTAACACTGTAGGAGATATGGGGCTACATACCAACCATCACAGATGCCGAGGTAGGTAACACTGTAGAGTACTGGGGCTCCATACCAACCATCACAGATGCCGAGGTAGGTAACACTGTAGAGTACTGGGGCTCCATACCAACCATCACAGATGCCGAGGTAGGTAACACTGTAGAGTACTGGGGCTCCATACCAACCATCACAGATGCCGAGGTAGGTAACACTGTAGAGTACTGGGGCTCCATACCAACCATCACAGATGCCGAGGTAGGTAACACTGTAGGAGATATGGGGCTACATACCAACCATCACAGATGCCGAGGTAGGTAACACTGTAGAGTACTGGGGCTCCATACCAACCATCACAGATGTCGAGGTAGGTAACACTGTAGGAGATATGGGGCTACATACCAACCATCACAGATGCCGAGGTTGGTAACACTGTAGAGTACTGGGGCTCCATACCAACCATCACAGATGCCGAGGTAGGTAACACTGTAGAGTACTGGGGCTCCATACCAACCATCACAGATGTCGAGGTAGGTAACACTGTAGGAGATATGGGGCTACATACCAACCATCACAGATGTCGAGGTAGGTAACACTGTAGAGTATTGGGGCTCCATACCAACCATCACAGATGCCGAGGTAGGTAACACTGTAGGAGATATGGGGCTCAATACCAACCATCACAGATGCCGAGGTAGGTAACACTGTAGGAGATATGGGGCTACATACCAACCATCACAGATGCCGAGGTGGGTAACACTGTAGAGTACTGGGGCTCCATACCAACCATCACAGATGCCGAGGTGGGTAACACTGAAGGAGATATTGGACTACAAACCAACCATCACAGATGCCGAGGTTGGTAACACTGTAGAGTACTGGGGCTCCATACCAACCATCACAGATGCCGAGGTAGGTAACACTGTAGGAGATATGGGGCTACATACCAACCATCACAGATGCCGAGGTAGGTAACACTGTAGAGTACTGGGGCTCCATACCAACCATCACAGATGCCGAGGTAGGTAACACTGTAGAGTACTGGGGCTCCATACCAACCATCACAGATGCCGAGGTAGGTAACACTGTAGGAGATATGGGGCTACATACCAACCATCACAGATGCCGAGGTAGGTAACACTGTAGAGTACTGGGGCTCCATACCAACCATCACAGATGTCGAGGTAGGTAACACTGTAGGAGATATGGGGCTACATACCAACCATCACAGATGCCGAGGTTGGTAACACTGTAGAGTACTGGGGCTCCATACCAACCATCACAGATGCCGAGGTAGGTAACACTGTAGAGTACTGGGGCTCCATACCAACCATCACAGATGCCGAGGTAGGTAACACTGTAGGAGATATGGGGCTACATACCAACCATCACAGATGCCGAGGTAGGTAACACTGTAGAGTACTGGGGCTCCATACCAACCATCACAGATGTCGAGGTAGGTAACACTGTAGGAGATATGGGGCTACATACCAACCATCACAGATGCCGAGGTTGGTAACACTGTAGAGTACTGGGGCTCCATACCAACCATCACAGATGCCGAGGTAGGTAACACTGTAGAGTACTGGGGCTCCATACCAACCATCACAGATGCCGAGGTAGGTAACACTGTAGGAGATATGGGGCTACATACCAACCATCACAGATGCCGAGGTAGGTAACACTGTAGAGTACTGGGGCTCCATACCAACCATCACAGATGTCGAGGTAGGTAACACTGTAGGAGATATGGGGCTACATACCAACCATCACAGATGCCGAGGTTGGTAACACTGTAGAGTACTGGGGCTCCATACCAACCATCACAGATGCCGAGGTAGGTAACACTGTAGAGTACTGGGGCTCCATACCAACCATCACAGATGTCGAGGTAGGTAACACTGTAGGAGATATGGGGCTACATACCAACCATCACAGATGTCGAGGTAGGTAACACTGTAGAGTATTGGGGCTCCATACCAACCATCACAGATGCCGAGGTAGGTAACACTGTAGGAGATATGGGGCTCAATACCAACCATCACAGATGCCGAGGTAGGTAACACTGTAGAAGATATGGGGCTACATACCAACCATCACAGATGCCGAGGTGGGTAACACTGTAGAGTACTGGGGCTCCATACCAACCATCACAGATGCCGAGGTGGGTAACACTGAAGGAGATATTGGACTACAAACCAACCATCACAGATGCCGAGGTTGGTAACACTGTAGAGTACTGGGGCTCCATACCAACCATCACAGATGCCGAGGTAGGTAACACTGTAGGAGATATGGGGCTACATACCAACCATCACAGATGCCGAGGTAGGTAACACTGTAGAGTACTGGGGCTCCATACCAACCATCACAGATGCCGAGGTAGGTAACACTGTAGAGTACTGGGGCTCCATACCAACCATCACAGATGCCGAGGTAGGTAACACTGTAGGAGATATGGGGCTACATACCAACCATCACAGATGCCGAGGTAGGTAACACTGTAGAGTACTGGGGCTCCATACCAACCATCACAGATGTCGAGGTAGGTAACACTGTAGGAGATATGGGGCTACATACCAACCATCACAGATGCCGAGGTTGGTAACACTGTAGAGTACTGGGGCTCCATACCAACCATCACAGATGCCGAGGTAGGTAACACTGTAGAGTACTGGGGCTCCATACCAACCATCACAGATGTCGAGGTAGGTAACACTGTAGGAGATATGGGGCTACATACCAACCATCACAGATGTCGAGGTAGGTAACACTGTAGAGTATTGGGGCTCCATACCAACCATCACAGATGCCGAGGTAGGTAACACTGTAGGAGATATGGGGCTCAATACCAACCATCACAGATGCCGAGGTAGGTAACACTGTAGGAGATATGGGGCTACATACCAACCATCACGGATGCTGAGGAGGGTAACACTGTAGGAGATATGGGGCTACATACCAATCATCACAGATGCCGTGATGGGTAACACTGAAGGAGAAATAGGGCTACATACCAATCATCACAGATGCCGTGATGGGTAACACTGTAGGAGATATGGGGCTACATACCAACCATCACGGATGCCGAAGTAGGTAACACTGTAGGAGATATGGGGCTACATACCAACCATCACAGATGCCGAAGTAGGTAACACTGTAGGAGATATGGGGCTACATACCAACCATCACAGATGCCGAGGTGGGTAACACTGTAGAGTACTGGGGCTCCATACCAACCATCACAGATGCCGAGGTAGGTAACACTGTAGGAGATATGGGGCTACATACCAACCATCACAGATGCCGAGGTGGGTAACACTGTAGAGTACTGGGGCTCCATACCAACCATCACAGATGCCGAGGTGGGTAACACTGAAGGAGATATTGGACTACAAACTAACCATCACAGATGCCGAGGTTGGTAACACTGAAGGAGATATGGGGCTACATACCAACCATCACAGATGCCGAGGTTGGTTACACTGAAGGAGATATGGGACTACATACCAATCATCACAGATGCCGTGGTGGGTAACACTGTAGGAGATATGGGGCTACATACCAACCATCACAGATGCCGAGGTGGGTAACACTGTAGAGTACTGGGCCTCCATACCAACCATCACAGATGCCGAGGTGGGTAACACTGAAGGAGATATTGGACTACAAACCAACCATCACAGATGCCGAGGTTGGTAACACTGAAGGAGATATGGGACTACATACTAATCATCACAGATGCCGTGGTGGGTAACACTGTAGGAGATATGGGGCTACATACCAACCATCACAGATCCCGAGGTTTGGTAACATTGTAGGAGATATGGGGCTCAATACCAACCATCACAGATGCCGAGGTAGGTAACACTGTAGGAGATATGGGGCTACATACCAATCATCACGGATGCTGAGGAGGGTAACACTGTAGGAGATATGGGGCTACATACCAATCATCACAGATGCCGTGATGGGTAACACTGAAGGAGAAATAGGGCTACATACCAATCATCACAGATGCCGTCGTGGGTAACACTGTAGGAGATATGGGGCTACATACCAATCATCACAGATGCCGTGGTGGGTAACTCTGTAGGAGATATGGGGCTACAAACCAACCATCACAGATCCCGAGGTTGGTAACACTGTTGGAGATATGGGACTACATACCAATCATCACAGATGCCGTCGTGGGTAACACTGTAGGAGATATGGGGCTACATACCAATCATCACAGATGCCGTTGTGGGTAACACTGTAGGAGATATGGGGCTACAAACCAACCATCACAGATCCCGAGGTTGGTAACACTGTTAGAGATATGGGACTACATACCAATCATCACAGATGCCGTGGTGGGTAACACTGTAGGAGATATGGGGCTACATACCAATCATCACAGATGCCGTGGTGGGTAACACTGTAGGAGATATGGGGCTACAAACCAACCATCACAGATCCCGAGGTTGGTAACACTGTAGGAGGTATGGGACTACATACCAACCATCACAGATGCCGAGGTAGGTAACACTGTAGGAGATATGGGGCTACATACCAATCATCACAGATGCCGTTGAGGGTAACACTGTAGGAGGTATGGGGCTACATACCAACCATCACAGATGCCGTGGTGGGTAACACTGTAGGAGATATGGGGCTCCATACCAATCATCACAGATGCCGTTGTGGGTAACACTGTAGGAGGTATGGGGCTACATACCAACCATCACAGATGCCGTTGTGGGTAACACTGTAGGAGGTATGGGGCTACATACCAACCATCACAGATGCCGAGGTGGGTAACACTGAAGGAGATATGGGGCTACATACCAATCATCACAGATGCCGAGGTGGGTAACACTGTAGGAGATATGGGGCTCCATACCAACCATCACAGATGCCGTTGTGGGTAACACTGAAGGAGATATGGGGCTACATACCAATCATCACAGATGCCGAGGTGGATAACACTGCACTGTAGATAGATACATTAATAGATTTCAATGTTCGAGACCATATGTATCATTCCCCTAGTGCCTGATAACGCTTGGGTTTAATACTCCCCAGGGAGCTGAGAATGAAATTTTAATCCACACTGATTCAAGAACTTGGGTACTAGCATTCACAGGTATAATGAATGGCGTATTGGAAATGAAGGTTCCACTGTAGATTTTATGAACGATGTATGTGTGTCATGAGTCGAGTGTGTTGCTAAGGTAACTGCATGCTCTTATTTCCCCAGGTGAAAAACAGAATCGAAAGATGTAAAGACAGTACATATGTGTTATGGTACTGTGACTTGAAACAGAGGCCAGCGCTCGGTGTTGTGTAAGTGACGTATTTTCACAGGTGTCTCTAGCTTTGATTAAACAAATGAAATTGTATGTCCCTTTTCTTCCTAACAACCCTCTCACTGTATATAAACTCGCGTATATTGGTGGTTTAATCAGTTCATCTAGGGGCGGTGGGGTAGCCTTGTTGTAAAAGCGTTCGCTTGTTACGCCGAAGACCCGCCGTGAAAGTGTTGGAATATTGCTAAAAGCGGCGTGAAACCGTACACACTCACTCACTCACTCAGTTCAACTGACGCAACATTAATAAGTGAGTGAGTGAGTGAGTGAGTGAGTTGGGTTTAACGCCGCTTTTAACAGTATTTCAGTTATATCACGGCGTGTCAGTTTAATGTGGGAGGAAAGCCCGAAGTGATTCAGTTAAAGCGTGAATGATGAATGCAACATTAAAGGTGATGAATGTATAAAGTATTTGTAGTTGTAAGTTATACTCTCTCTCTCTCTCTCTCTTTCTCTCTCTCTCTCTCTCTCTCTCTCTCTCTCTCACACACACACACAAACACATGCACTCGCATGGGTGATCCGGTGACAGTAGACTGTACAGAGTTGCCTCCCTTCCGTGCTACAACCCTCTGATTGTTCACACAGCCGTGCTCGTGGGCGTTGCACACGTGGTCGCCGCTTCCGACCTGTTATTAGGGATTTACTCCCACATTAAGCTGCCATGATAAAACTGAAATAATGAAACCAACGTAGTCACTCGTTGACATCCCACTGTCATATTCTTGGCGTTCATTTCGAGATGAAATTTGCTATACAGATCAGTCTTGTGGTGAACTGGTGCCTTTTGATGATTTGGGATATTGAAAAATACTGAACAGCTATATATCCTTATGCACTGAGCTGAAGGTATCTGATGGCAGAAGTGGGGGTATTAGTAGCCATTACCGAATTACACCAGATCGGGGCATGTGTCATGACTGATGACTATTGTTTCATTTGAAGTATTGAAGTGCAAACTTTTAAAAGTATTTTGTCTCAACACCAGACCCCTCCCCCCCCCCCCCTCCCCCCTCTCACACACACACGCCGTGATATAACTGGATTACTGATAAAAGCGGCGTTAAATCCAACTCACTCACTCACAACAGTTCCCAATAACGCGTTCAGCACAATCGGAAGGCACCCGATAAGACTCAGCGCTATGTTTTGTTTTAGATTATTTTTTGTACAAAATATCAACAAATAGCTCAATTTACAAAGCCTGTCGCTCACATCATCGACCACTAGTCTTCCCTTCCCTGTCCTATTTAGGTCGTGATCAAGCTGTGATATTAATGATTATTATGAATCCCATTCACTGTCGTTCTTCCGTCCGTAGGTATAACTCTTCGTTCAGGACCTTCCTTATCTGGAAGAGGTCAAGTTACAACGGCAACAAGTTCTACATATATCAGGACCAGAAGGAAGCCCTCACTCTGACAGAGCTGCTAGATTATCACCTCAAAGATGGAATAATACTCAGATGCCCCTACAGACTGAAAATCATGCTAAAATACCCTTTTCTTGAATGAAGATAGAAGCAGATGTGTGTGGATAGTTAATGGTCAGCTGATGTTGACAAGAACTCACTCTTCCGAGGTGAAGGTGCAATGGGGTTTAACGTCGCGTTGAAGGTTATTTCACTAATACAGCATGCACGGGTGTGCGAGTGCGTGCTTGCCTGCTTGTACTCGTCCGGACTTACGCCGATTGTATAGTGCTAACCCATTGAGATACCACGTCGTAGTTTAACATGAATACCCTACTCAGACACAGTATACTGACGCCGAGCCTATCGGTACTGGTTTAATCCCCTTAATGCCGAATGCCAGGCAGGTAACAAGTACATGTACCATCTTTTAATGTCTTTTTGTAAGACGCGGCCGGGGATAGAACCACCAACCTTCCGCTCTCCGGGCAGACACTCTATCCTCTAGACCACGGATGCGGTTGACTCTGGAGAAAGCCAACAAGTCCGTACAATACATTACACATACACTATTTTCATTGGCATAGTTATTAACACGTGGAATGCAAGAGTTGGGCATTGGTACATAAATTACCCACACCATTCGCATATGTGTGCGTACTGTTCAAACTAACTTTAAAAAATAGCTAGCCATCTGACTTTTCTGCTGGTCACGGGCCAAAGGATCAGCGGTTGTGTCGCTCATTAGCCTCTAAGTGAAAGAAGTCGAATATGACAAGTCTCGAATATACGCCATGTCTGTCTCGAATACCAGCCAGATAAAACAACGCTGTTGTGCAATGATATTAAACTGTTAGACTTGCCAAATTCTAATGCTGCCCATACGATAAGAAAAGTGCTGAAAGAGTAGATTCTCATTGAGGACTTTACGGTACCTAACTCTTTCAGCGAGAGTCGTTTTATTATCCCCCGCCCGCCCTTGGGGGTACACTAGACTTAATCTTCTGTAATGAGCCCATCTCAACTAGAGTCTTTCCAGTTCCATACACTGACCATCATCTTGTGCGGGGTGTGACGGAATAGGTGTAGTATATTTAAGTGACTATCATTATTTCTTTGTATGTTAATCAATGTGGTAATGAACTGAACTTTTTTAATCTTAATATTTTGCATTTAATCTACTATGTCCAAAGCAACATCTTGGGTTTGAACTGGTAATGACCATAGTCACATATCACATACTAATACCATTTATGTTTCTTAACAAATATTCCATGAAGATATTATTACGAGTCAAAATGTGACTTGCAATGTTTTGTCTTTCTCCCACCCTAATGAATTCAGTAGTAAATGTAGGAACTGGTTTTGTCAGTTTGTACTTCCATCATGTTTTTGTGGAGAAGGTTTCATTTGTTTTGTGTTTTGCAGCATTATATTTTGTTTCTTCAGGATATTTTGCATTTACATCAAGTATATGCTCCCCTTCTGCCTTTTACTCCTCACAAAATTTTGAATATTTTCAAATGTATTTGTTTGTGTGATCAAATTTCACTGTTGTTGACATGACACTTCATTTGCTGGGCAGGAGACTTGGCCAAGTTAGTGGCAAACTCTTCTTTTTTTTACAATTTCCATGACAAGTCCCACCTCGGTTAAAAAAGGTTAGGTTTTTTTAAAGATTTAATTATGTTATAAATTCTGCAACAGGGGCGGGGGATATAGCCACTTTAGTGGCAAACTCTTGTTTGTTATTTGCTTCTGGAAGATGTCAATTTTGTGAGATGTTTCCTTGTGTATATTTAAAGTACTGAATGCCCTGGCGAATCAAAGTTGGCATTTAGATTTAGCATTTACCAAACTGTTCAATCATTTACTTGTAATATTTCTACATACAGCAGTATGGCGTACGTTATTGTGTGCAATGTAAAATGTGCAGTGTACGACGTACGGTGTATGGGCGACAGCTATTAAGCTTCAGTGTACAGGGTACTGTATATATAGGCTATGATATCTTGTGATGTACAGAGTACGATGGACGTGATCAAAACTCAATGATGATGTTTATCGCGAGCAAAATGGATATTTCTGTTAAAACGAAATTTGTAATTTTTGTCATTACTGTGATATACCTTATCTGCGGAATGATCGCGAATACATAGGCTGTCGCTATATTGAAAACAGTATGAAAGTACTTAATCTTGCTTTTAAATATTCCTCTTTGAAGAACTTACAGTGAACATACGTACCCTGTTTGTGTAGGTAAACGAGTATTCTGTGGTTAGCGAATGTTTGTTGTTTAACGCCGCGCACAGCAATATTCGTAAATAATGGATTCTGGACCAGACAATCCAGTGACTGACATCATGAGCATCGATCCACGCAAAAGGGATACGATGACATGCATAGTCCAAGCAGTTGAAACTGGTATACTGGAATTGAATATAATGAAAGATTTTGTCCATATTGCAAATCAAGGGGTCCTTCCTTTATTGAAGATGAATTCCATGTGTTATTTGTTTGCACTATTCATAGAGAAATAAGAACAAATTGTATTGGTACATTTATTCATGAACCGTATACAGCACACTGTAGTGATTCTTTTTCAAAATGAACAGGGAGCCATCTATAACATTAGTTTATTTCTGTATTATGTCTATAAAACTAGCATTGCTAGAAATATAAAAAACTTTTAACAATGAATTAAAAAAAAGAGAGAACAAATCTGAAAATGTTTGTAAATGCGTTCGCATAGATATTCAATCTGTGTATTTTGGACCAAAGGCCTTATACCGAATATATTTGTCTTGTCCTGTCTTCAAGTAAAAAACTTCATGAAGTTCACTGACATTAGTTTATTCATGTGCATAACTTATATTCCACAGAAGACAGTGTTTGTTGTTTAACGCCGCACTCAGCAATATTCCAGCGATATGACGGCGGTCTGTACATAATCGAGTATGGAGTATCGAGTATGCAGTGAGTAATGTCATGAGCATCCATCCATGCAATTGGAACACGTTGACATGCATCAACCAATCCAGCGAGCCTGACCACCCGATCCCGTTAATCGCCTCTTACGACAAGCATGGGGTGCTGAAGACCGATTCTACCCCGATCTCCACGGGTCGGTTAGTGAATGAGTGCCATCGAATACCGTGGCACACAGCAGGTCACATCTCAACCATCCGATCCCCAATGTAGCAGCTTGCGTGACTGGCATGTTGTTCTGGTGACATATTATAGACGTATAACAATATAGTAGAACATATCTGTTCAGTTCTTCAATAATAATATAAAGGGATGATTCTTGTACTTACCTTCTGGTAAAAACGTCACTCTGGCCTCAATCGATGAACAGAAAACATTTACATACGATTCTCAAGGGCTTTGGGGTAGCCTAGAGTTTAAAGCGTTCGCTCGTCACGCCGAAGGCCTGGGTTAAATTTCCCACATGGGCACAATGTGTCAAGCTCATTTCTGGTGTCCCCCGCCGTGATATTGCTGGAATATTGCAAAAGGCGGCGTAAAACCATACTCATTCATTCATTCATTCATAGTAGCTTTACACAAAAATTGATTGTTTTCAGAAAATGAATTTGAATGAAATATAAATGAAATTAAACCAAACGTGTTTGCTTATTTTATTACATCCCGTGACCTTCAGATGGGGTCAAACCACTATCGGTCGGCCCGGCAAATCCCGCGAGACAATGTTATCAGTTTCCTTCTGATAACATTGAAGTATTTAATGTGTAGACAGCCTGAGATATTCAAGAGAACAATCAGGCGTAACGGTGCATTCGCTGGTGAATCAGACCTATATTTACACCTATACGGGAAACACTTTAATGGCAGTTGTCTTTTGAGGGTCGCTTTTAGTAGTTTTGTATGATAAATCCTAATGTCAAATTTCTATTTGTTTGTTGTAACGCCACACTATAAGATGGCGGTCTGAAAATAATAGAGTCTGGACCAGGCAATCCCGTTATTGATTTCAAGAGCATCGATCCAGGCAATTGGGATACAGTGACATGCATCAACCAAGTCAGCGAGCCTTGACCACCCGATCCCGTTAGTCGCCTGTATGACAGGACAAAAGACATACAGCATGGCAGACCAGGGCATGGTATGACAGGAAGGATATACTTGTTAGAAAGTGAACGAGTGAATTTGGTTTAAGGCCGCTTTGAACAGTATTTCAGTTAAATCACGGCTTGTCAGATTTATGAGGGAGGAAAGCCCGAAGTGATGCATGTCTTATACGAGTTGATGCAACCAACGGGCACAGGTGTGGTGCTGACAAACCCAGAAACGTAATCGGGGAACCGAGATTCGAACCCACGATCCAAAGGTTTCTAGCAAGCCCACGTGAGGCAACTCGGCCCGTGAGGCAAGGCCACCAGTGCCCCCAATATGTTACAGCATATTTGATCAACAGAAAACGGCATGTCAGGGCCCCTTTGCACGAAGCAACCTAATCTGAAGATCTTTATTTTAACTCCAGGATGAATGGGGGTCCATTGTATGAAGTGATAGGAAACGGTAGGACATGAATGGTATACAGAACACACCACGTAACCGTTTTGGCTATGTTGCACACAGTAGTATATGACATTATCTATGTTGCGATGGGGTAGCCTAGTGGTTAAAGCGTTCGTTCGTCACGCCTATGACCCGGGTTCGATTCCCCACATAGGCACAATGTGAAAAGCCCATATCAGGTGTCCCCCGCTGTGATACTGCTGGAATATTGCTAAAAGCGGCGTAAAACCATACCCACTCTATGTTACAAAAAAATCGTGGTGTGTGTTACACACAGTAGTATTTGACATTAACTATGTTACACACAGATGTAAATTATATGGTGTGTGTGGCACACAATAGTATATGACATTAACTATGTTACACACAGATGTAAATTATATGGTGTGTGTTGCACACAATAGTATATGACATTAACTATGTTACACACAGATGTAAATCATATGGTGTGTGTTGCACACAATAGTATATGACATTAACTATGTTACACACAGATGTAAATTATATGGTGTGTGTTGCACACAATAGTATATGACATTAACTATGTTACACACAGATGTAAATTATATGGTGTGTGTTGCACACAATAGTATATGACATTCACTATGTTACACACAGATGTAAATTATATGGTGTGTGTGGCACACAATAGTATATGACATTAACTATGTTACACACAGATGTAAATTATATGGTGTGTGTTGCACACAATAGTATATGACATTAACTATGTTACACACAGATGTAAATTATATGGTGTGTGTTGCACACAATAGTATATGACATTAACTATGTTACACACAGATGTAAATTATATGGTGTGTGTTGCACACAATAGTATATGACATTAACTATGTTACGCACAGATGTTAATTATATGGTGTGTGTTGCACACAATAGTATATGACATTAACTATGTTACGCACAGATGTAAATTATATGATGTGTGTTGCACACAATAGTATATGACATTATCTATGTTACGCACAGATGTAAATCATATGGTGTGTGTTGCACACAATAGTATATGACATTAACTATGTTAAACAGATGTAAACGACGCGGTGTGTGTTGCACACAATAGTATATGACATTAACTATGTTACACACAGATGTAAATTACGAAGTGTGTGTTGCACACAGTAGTATGTGACAATATCTATGTTACACACAGATGTGGAGCGATCGGGTAGCCGAGTGGTTAAAGCGTTGGCTTGTCACGCCGAAGACCCGGGTTCGATTCCCCACATGGGTACAATGTGTGAAGCCCATTTTCCGGTGTCCCCTGCCGTGATATTGCTGAAATATTGCTGAAAGCGGCGTAAAACCATACCCAGTCACTCACTCACTAACGGATGTAAATTACGTTGTGTGTCACACACAGTAGTATGTACCATTATCTATGGTACACACAGATGTAAATGACGTGGTGTGTGTTACAGTAGCATAGGACATTATCTATGTTACACACATGTAAACGACGCGGAGTGCGTTACACACAGTAGTAAAGGACATTATCTATGTTACACACAGATGTAATTTACGTGGTGTGTGTTACAGTAGTACATGACATTATCTATGTTACACACAGATGTAAACGACGTGGTGTGTGTTACAGTAGTACATGACATTATCTATATAACACACAGATGTTAACGACGTGGTGTGTGTTAAAGTAGTACATGACATTATCTATATAACACACAGATGTAAACGACGTGGTGTGTGTTACAGTAGTACATGACATTATCTATATAACACACAGATGTAAACGACGTGGTGTGTGTTACAGTAGTACATGACATTATCTATATAACACACAGATGTTAACGACGTGGTGTGTGTTACAGTAGTAAAGGACATTATCTATATAACACACAGATGTAAACGACGTGGTGTGTGTTACAGTAGTACATGACATTATCTATATAACACACAGATGTAAACGACGTGGTGTGTGTTACAGTAGTAAAGGACATTATCTATGTTACACACAGATGTAAACGACGTGTCATGTGTTGCACACAGTAGTATATGACATTATCTATGTTACACACAGATGTAATTTACGTGGTGTGTGTTACAGTAGTACATGACATTATGTATGTTACACACAGATGTAAACGACGTGGTGTGTGTTACAGTAGTACATGACATTATCTATATAACACACAGATGTTAACGACGTGGTGTGTGTTACAGTAGTACATGACATTATCTATATAACACACAGATGTAAACGACGTGGTGTGTGTTACAGTAGTACATGACATTATCTATATAACACACAGATGTAAACGACGTGGTGTGTGTTACACACAGTAGTAAAGGACATTATCTATATAACACACAGATGTTAACGACGTGGTGTGTGTTACAGTAGTAAAGGACATTATCTATATAACACACAGATGTAAACGACGTGGTGTGTGTTACACACAGTAGTAAAGGACATTATCTATATAACACACAGATGTAAACGACGTGGTGTGTGTTACAGAAGTACATGACATTATCTATGTTACACACAGATGTAAACGACGTGGTGTGTGTTACAGTAGTAAAGGACATTATCTATATAACACACAGATGTTAACGACGTGGTGTGTGTTACACACAGTAGTAAAGGACATTATCTATATAACACACAGATGTTAACGACGTGGTGTGTGTTACAGTAGTACATGACATTATCTATATAACACACAGATGTTAACGACGTGGTGTGTGTTACAGTAGTATAGGACATTATCTATGTTACACACAGATGTAAACGACGTGTCATGTGTTGCACACAGTAGTATATTACATTATCTATGTTACACACAGATGTAAATGACGTGGTGTGTGTACAGTAGTATAGGACATTATCTATGTTACAGACAGATGTAATTTACGTGCTCTGTGTTGCACACATAGGACATTTCACAACTTAAACAATAAGTGTAAAGACGTATTGTGTCTTGTATAGTGATACAACAGGTATTAGCTAGAAGTAAGGCCCACAATGGTGTACAGGATGTGTTTCAGTCAAGATAGTGAGTGAGTGAGTGAGTATGGTTTTACGCCGCTTTAAGCAATATTCCAGCAATATCACGGCGGGGGACACCAGAAATGGGCTTCACACATTGTACCCATGTCGGGAATCCAACCCGGGTCTTCGGCGTGACGAGCGAACGCTTAAACCACTAGGCTACCCGACCGCCCCCAGATAGAGTGAGGTAGTAGTATTCAATGCTGCTTTCCTCGGGTAATTTATGCTTTATTTGATCATACGCTATCTTTAGAGGAGAAACAGATTTCCTGGCGTAGGCGTCAGTGTGAATTTCAAATATTTAATTCTAATCTAAGTGGTTATAGTTTGACTTATGATATTTACTTTGTGGGTAAATATTCGTCATACTGATCACAGGTTAAGGAGAGTTTGTTTGAATACAATGATAAAACATCCCACTCATTCAACTGTGACGTCGTAGATCTCACTGTCACTCGTTCTCTGCTGATTCAATAAATGCTTTCCAATATATACTCTGCCAAACACGAAATGCAAAAGTAGTAATCGTAAATATCTAACAAAGTGTTGCCTACATCCATACAAACTTAATACCAAAGATTAGTTGGTCATTTCTGCAGAGATTGGGATTGATTTGTTCGGGAAGGACGGGGTACTGCAGAAAGTTGATGAAAAATCAGAACAACACAACCACGTAAAAGCCTGACGCAGGGATACAACAACATAATATGCACATTTAGCGTCACTTGTTGGGCTATAAAAACGTTGGGTTTCATTTGCATTTGACGTGGGTCAATGATGTGTGCCAATTGTGAACAATAGATTACCATCTGTGTATTATTTATATGATATATAGAATATACATCTAAAATCAGTTTTGCGTTTAATTTTTTGCAGAGTATACATTTGTACAACTGTGTTTTCAATGTAGGATTCCCCCTAATCAATGTTGGGGTAGTCGTAGGTTTGTTTGTGTTTGACTCCAATCAAGGTCTGTTACAGATACGCATCTCAATGGTACAAACCCTCTCTTCACAACGTCAGTGGAAATTACCACTCGACAGACATTCATAATCAGGTCATGTGAACGCAATTAACGACAGGAACGTTTTGGTGCAGCTCACCCTATCGCGTGATATCCTGTATCGGAAGGTTTTCCTCGTATTGATTGAAGGTGTAAAACCCCACACTGAATGACGACAGAGCATAGCGCATCACTCACCATTCATCCGTGGGTGCTCGTAGACTGGAGAAATAATGCTGACGGTAAGTTGTGAAGTTTTTTACCATTGAAACGTGTTGTCATGCTCACCGATGTGGTTATTACGCATAAGCAAACATGTAGCCTATAAACAATACAATGTTTTACCGCGCTTCTTGTATGTATGTATGTATGTATGTATGTATGTATGTATGTATGTATGTATGTAAATATACACACGAACACGATGTACATATATAAATTAAGTCTTTTGAAGAAGTAACCATGAATATTTTGAGTGTCTTTAGCTATGTTTTGACAAATATTAATTTTAAATGTGATGGTAATTTCATCTTTAACACGGATTGTGATCGTACCTAGACGGTTCCCAAATACTCGTTCCGTTTCTAACACGAACTATCATTTGCCCTTACCAAACGACCTCAGCAATTGACCACATGCTATTTCAAAGGTTGAGGGGAACTGGGATTTTAATGAAAAACACAAACTGACTCCGAAAATGCTGGAAAATATCTGTATGCTTCAACCGTTTGAAAAAAAGAAATTCTCTGCCAAAAAAAACAATATTGTTGCAGGAGGCTTTTTTAAACATTTAAAAACAATTAGCCTTATATTCTCACACACAAAATAGTTTTCAAAGAAAGTATTCATCAGGAGTAAGCATATAAAACGTTGTTCCACATAATATAGAAGTTGACATCCATACATTCTCTCTTGTGTGTATCACTTCTAAATGCCATCATAGACTTATACGAAGATATACTCTGCTAAAAAAGAAACGCAAAGGTGATTTTAGATATATATTTTATAGATCATATAAATAATCAACAGATCGAGTGTTCAAATTGGCACACATCATTGTCATTGACCCAGCGTCCACTTGGCACACATGCAACAGTATATTTTCACCGCCGACGATGCAGGTCCTGTCAAACTGCTCGTCTAGCGCGAATACCTTCAGCGCATTAACAGTTCCTCACCGTCTGGACTGATATCCTACGAAATCCTGGTATTGCCGTAGTCATAGAGGTGGTCGTGGATGTTCTTTCACGAAAGTGACGCAGCCGTATGCTCTGTCCTGTGCTCTAATAGTGATACGATGTCGACCGATTCTGGAAAGGTCACGGTTCCACAGTCTTGCAATGGTGCTTGATGCTACGTTGAAAAACCTGGCTACAGCTGAAGTCGATTCTCCTGTTTGCAGTCGGCCGATGGCGTCGTTGCGTTGGGCTTCCGTCAGTCGTTGCATGTTTTCGCTGTTCACTTGGTGTAAGATTGTGATGGCATGTAAATGTAAACCCAACGATTTATAGCCCAATAAGTGATTGAGAACGTTCATGACGATTCGCGCTGTGTGTTATCGGGCGTTGTCTTGCTGGAACATGTTCCGAGAGTTTTGTTGCAGGTACGGGTGAACACGTGCGAATTACCTCACCCACGTAGCGTTGAGCCGTGAGTTTGGTGTTGTAAACTACGAGATCAGTCTTCTGCTGTCCACAGATATCGCCCCAAACCATGACGCTACCACCGTCGAATGGTACGACCTCCGGAATGCAGCAACGTGCTTCTCGCTCTTCACGTCGAGGCCTAATATGAACTCTGCTATCAGGACTGAAGAACCGGAGTCGACTTTTGTCCGAAAGAGTACGCGTTCTCAGTTGGTGTTCTGCCATGGGCTGACGGTCCGTTTCCATCCCAGTCTTTGACGTCCATGTTGAGGCGCCAAGACGACACTGTATGAGGGCAGGGTAGTCTCCTTGATACAGTTGTTGTTTTGTGGTAGAGCGTCCACCCTGAGAGCGGAAGGTTCGGGGTTCAATCCCCGGATGCTTCATACCAGAAGACATTAAGAGATGGTACTGGTTGTTACCCTGTCTGGCGCTCGGCATTAAAGGGCTAAAACAAGGACTGGTCGGCTCGGAGTCAGTATACTGTGTCTGGATGTATCTGTTTCCCAGGTGTGTGTCCGGTACCGGTCTTCGTTGGATGTCGTGACGGATGGTCTGCCACTGCTAGGCCTGTCCACGGTAGGGCCACTGTGCCAACAACGTAACCTCAAGTACTGTCGGAAACGCTAGAAAACTGCTTTTTGCCTGTTAAGACAGGATATTATTTTTCACAGACTGTTGTTATTGAAATATCGAGTAACTACCGATCGCCCTACCTGTTGTTTGAAGTATTTCAGTCACAAGGAGTCCTATCCACAAATTTACAGGGACAAATTCGAACGAAAACAGGAAGTTCACATTTGTTCCGTGTCCAATGATGACAGTCTGAAACGGACTATAGAAATATGCACACGTGACTCCGTTATAATGATAATAATGTAATCTTCATAAAACATCTAATCCACACACAAAAATCATTTTGAGAAAATTCTGCATGTGCATCTTCTAAAATGACAAAATGACGCTGCGTTTTTTTTGGTTAACATTGCTCCCAGGATGCATGTAACATTACACTTGCATAGCCATAACCATGGTACACGATATGCAGTCTGTACTGGGAAATGTATACAAGTTCTTTACACTTAAAGATAGAGGGAAACCATTTATTAATTTAGATAGGGTGAATGACTGAACTGCCCAAGCTATGGGGTTGTCAATTCATACTATCAAGTCTACAGTATGGTAAGAAAACAAAACAAAACTGGGAAGTAAAAGGATATCAGACAGCTGTGATACAGGGTGATTAGGCGAAAAGCGTACAAGCTTTATGAGCAGAAGGTTACACTGACTTGTAGTAGAATTTGGGAGGAATTAAAGATACAATCAATGTTTCCCGGACTGCACTAACCATTGCTCTCCAAGAGATGGGATTTCGATACACCGCGCGTGGCGATGACCGAGCACTTTTCAGGGGAAAATATTCCATCCATTCATAACTATCACAGTCAGGGCGTCCAGATAATTTTCCTTGATGAATCATTCCACTGACTACATATGGCTATCGGCAGATGGACAAAAAGCACCCATGGTACCATCAGGTAAAGGTAATCGTGTCATTGTGTTGCACGCTGCAACCCATGATATGGGGCTTATTGATGGATGAGTACGAGTTTTCGAGGCGAAAAAGAAAACCGTGTTCATAGACTGGTTGCAACTTCAGCTATTGCCTATTTAAAAACAACGCCAGTGTTATTGTCATGGATAACGTCAGTTAATATAATGTCCGGGAATCAGATACTGTCGCCCAAACCATAGTCTGAAGGCGACCATACAGGAATATATGACATTGTCGACTTTAGACCATATGAAACGAAAGTTCAACTCATAGAGAAAAGTCGGCTGAATAAGAAACCAGTAAAGTACAAGATATATGTGCTGGCGGAACAACACGGTCACGTTGTCTTACGTACGCCAGTCAGACACTGTGAGCTAAACCCTGTTGAGCCCATCTTGGCTAAGTGTAATGGGTACGAAGCAAGACATAACACAATATTCAAAAGTACAGATTCATATACGTCATCAGCGGAGATGAATGCTACCTCAAGAAACCATCTGTAGAACAACAAATACTTCTGAAATTCCAAAACCGCAAACTTCCAATACTCATCCCGTTTCATAGCTCTTAACTAGTCCATCATGTTTCCAAGCAAATATAATGCAGTACATATCCTAAATTGCTACCCCATAAACGCATGTCAATTAAGTACAATAACAGCAATATTTTGAGACCACCCCCAACTCGGTGACATTAGCACCTGGGAGAATGCACGGGACGGTGTGGGGTCATCACCTCGGGACAGGTGTTAGGTAATTACCTCAGGTTATAGGTCATTTCATACATGCATGACACAACACGGATATTTTCTAAGTTTATCATCATTTTACCAGTAAAAGAACATTTTAAGGGTAATCAAAATGTCAGTTACGACAGGCTAGATTAGGTCATTTCGCGTTATTTTGATATATGCTCTTTTTATAGTTATATGACTCGTATTTATTACATGAAGCCACAAAATCAGTTTTCAAGCATTTCCGACAGTACTTTAGTGATTGTTGTGCGAGTACAACCGAAAAATCGTGACACGCTGATTTGTGTGCCACGGGAGACAGCGATGCTACTTTTATGTCCTGACTTTCCAAATCACATCGTGTTGCACGTGCATAGAACTTTCACGGTTAAAGTCACTTTGCACGAGGACCAGAAAGGGGGCTTTGAGAAACCCACGTGTTGGTTGCGGATTGGTTATTCATTTATAGCAATTTTGTAACAATATATTGATTTTAGATTACGACAAATTTTAAGTTAAAGTTTGGTTTAGTTTCCTTAGCCCTTGGGTGTTCTAATTATAAAATATATCTGTTCTCAATACAATGCCCATGCAAGTCTTTAATATTTGGCAAGTCTAGATTACTCTCAGGGTCTCTGAAAATAAAAAGAGTTTCTGGGATCCGTTTTATTATAAACTGAACCGCTTACAGGATACAGATACAGTAATTTTGCTCGACAAATCGCCCGGCAAGTAGCCAGTACATTTCAAGTCAACGTAGTAGTGACCATATACAGGATCCAGCAACGGTACCAGACCACAAACACTACAGATGACCGACCACGTAGTGGAAGACCAAGGGTCGCCACCCGACGTCAGGAACGACGTTTGTGCGACAGCGTCTTCAAGATCGCTTTGTCACTGCTGCGGAAACCGCTCAACAGACCATGGGGACACATTAGCGCGGACACTGTGCGTCGACGACTGACGACCGGACACTTCCACTGTCACAGGCCACGCCGAGGACCCATTCTGACACCACGTCATCGCCGGGACCGTCTTCAGTGGGCAACACAGCACCAGCATTGGCGCCACCAGCAGTGTAGAAGAGTCCTCTTCTCAGAGGACGAGAGCCGTTACTGTATCTAAACAGCAGATGGCAGAGAGAGAGAGAGAGAGAGAGAGAGAGAGAGAGAGAGAGAGAGTCTGGCGACGCCATGGGTGTAATTGGTGTAATTGGTGTAATTGTCTTTCACAGAGGCTCGGCCCTGTGGTCTTCCAGAACATCGGTCCAAGGATAGGCAATGGTGTCACACCAGCTCGGTACATTGATCAAGTCTTGAGACCACACGCCATACCTCATATGGCATGTCGCCGCAACCACGAGTTTCAGCATGATAACACCCGTGCCCACACTGCGAGAGCAACGAGAACCTTCCTCCCGCAGAATGGCATCAGAACCATGCAGTGGCCCGCCCTCAGTCCCGATTTAAATCCCATTGAGCACCTTTGGGACGAGATTCAAAGACGGCTGAATAACGTCCGACCAAGGCCGACAACTGCAGCTGAATTGCGTCAGGCGTTCCTCAGAGTGTGGGCTCAAGTGCCTATGGCCTTCATCAACCGCCGTTGCATCGTTGTATCGACGTTGCACGGCAGTCATCAATGCACATGGCGGACACACGAGATACTGACTTGTGATGCCATTTTCTCAGAGACGAGTGTTGTGTTTCACTTTAAGAACATTTGACACTTTAATTTCAACCTTTATGATCAGTTTTGCCAAGTTTCATCTTTTTAATATGTCTCAAAGTATGTGTACGGTGTTTGGTCAAATGAGGTTTCTCATATATCTATCCACTGTGACGTTTCTTTTGCGGTTCAGTATATATAGATAATTTAGTGTTGTAAAGTATGTTCATTTCAGAGACTAGATATGTTAGTCAACACAAATCAGACATTACTTACCTTTCAAAACATCTATACATGAAGCAGCTGGAATAAAAACTATTGTCATGCAATTTTTAAAATATTCAAATGTTATCAGATAATGTACAATACGTTTTCTATGGACATACATAAATCGGCTATATATACAGTTACTACAGGTTCTATAGGCACAACTGTACAATTCGGCACAGTTCAACTGTGGCTCACCTCCTGTTTATAAACCAGTTAGTGAATAAATGTCGACGTATACTAAAAGTTACTGAACAATGTGATTTGTCATGCTCGCTGTTACCATTTCCTTATATACGTAGCGTCTATTAATCCTGATATCGCATATATATGTGATAACATATAACAAAACTAGGCGAATGAGATAACAGGAAATAACATGGATTTATATTATGTACTACTACTACTACTACTACTACTACTACTACTACTACTACTACTACCACCACTACTACTACCACCACTACTACTACCACCACCACCACCCACTACTACTACCACCACCACCCACTACTACTACCACTACTACTGCTACCTCCACCACACACTACTACTACTACCACCACCCACTACTACTACCACCACTACAACCACTACTACTACCACCACTACAACCACTACTACTACCACCACTACAACTACTACTACAACCACTACTATTTCCACCACTACAAGCACTACTACTACCACCACTACAAGCACTACTATTTCCACCACTACAACCACTACTATTTCCACCACTACAACCACTACTACTACCACCACTACAACCACTACTATTTCCACCACTACAACCACTACTATTTCCACCACTACTACTACTATTATTTCCACCACTGCTACTACTATTACTACTACAAACAGACCTAGTCAGGCCAGTGCTGTAGTGCTGCTACTAGTACCACTGTTACTACTACTACTACTACTACTACTACTACGACTACTACTACCTTCTCTGCCCTACTACTACTAGTAGTAGTAGTAGTCGTAGTAGTAGTTCTATTTGCTTGTTTTATTGCGTGTTTAAGTCCGCACTCAGCAATATTCCAGCTATATGACGGCGGTCTGTAAATAATCGAGTCTGTACCAGACAATCCACTGATTGATATCATGAGCATCGATCAACGCAAATGAGATACGATGACATGCATCAACCAAGTCAGCGAACCTGACCATCCGATCCCGATAGTTGCCTCTTACGACAAGCATAGTCGCCTCTTACGGCAAGCATGGGTTGCTGAAGACCTATTCTACCCCTGATCTTCATGGGTCGTTAAGCAATGTAATATATACTAATGACGACTAATGATCGTCACGGGTGTACTATTAGTACTACTACACAAAACAATAAAAGTAGTAATAACAACACTTAAAATGTGTACACTTGTGAAGCAACAACAACAACAACAACAACAACAACAACAGTAATGTCATGTGTCTGCACTACATTCTATTGTAGGTGTGCCTGTGGCTTGTCGCCGTAGTGGTCGTCGTTGCGAGTCCCAAACAATTGTGCCCCAACCAGTCGGTGCCCCTGGAGGAAAGCATGTTCCTGGTGCCCCAACTGTCCAGGAACAACATCCCAGGGTCACACCCCCACTATGCCTACCTGACCGGGGAGAGGACGTGTCGGCCACTCGGTTTGTCTGGGGGTCGGGTCTGTCCTTGGCACTACCGCATCAACCACGATAGCGACAGGGAACCCAGCTTGATCATTGAAGCTATGTGTAGTTGTAGCCAATGCAGAAACACGGTAATCTATTTGGTTAACTTGCTTTAAATGAATGGGTTTTCAATACTAAATGAGTTATATAAATATATAGAGTAACAACAGAAACGTTTACCTTGTCGCATAATTTCACAGATGTAAGGCGCGGTCGGGTAGCCTTGTGGTTAAAGCGTTCGCTCGTCACGCCGAAGACCCAGGTTCGATTCCCGACATGGGTACAATGTGTGAAGCTCATTTCTGGTGTCCCCCGCCGTGACATTGCTGGAATATTGCTAAAAGCGGCGTAAAACCATACTCACTCACTCACTCACAGATATAACGTTACACTTTAATTATCAATATTGTCATTGTTTTAATTTCAACAAAGGACTAGGGTAGCAAATTCGTCAAAAGCGCTGAGTCTCTACAGACACGTGTCCTTGGTTGAAATGTCAGATGACTGTGATCCTTCGTCACATCAGGATGACAACGAACTCAAAATGACCACTAGTTTTAGTTCGTAATAACCGTAGTGCGTTATAAGCATATATACATATCTATACTAAACAATTCGTTCGTTATTTCGGTCAGTTCGTTATAAGCGTGTTCGTTATAAACGTGGTTAAAGTAACTGAAATAGTATTTAAACTTTCTCACAACTCATTATCTATTTCTTCACAGAATATTATTGTTACTTTTGGTCGAATATCATCGATACCTGATAGTCATGTCAGAGTTATTCATCAACTGGGGCGGCCCAGTCGTCTAAAGCGATTCGCTGTGTAGAGTTGCGTCCCTTGGTCACGCCAGAACCTATGATTGTGGGTTCGAATCCCGGTTCGTCCCGATTATGTTTCTAGGTTTGTCAGCACTATACCCCTGCTCGTGGGTTTCACCGAAGTGGAAAACGTCTGAGACTTGCATCACTTCGTTCTTTCTTCCTTCATTAAGCTGACACGCCGCGATATAACTGGAATACTGTTAAAAGCGGCGTTAAACCCAACTCACTCACTATTCATCAACCTGTTCCTTGGTCTAATGATAGAGCGCCTGCCTCGAGAGCGAAATTGTTTTATAGGCATTACTTAGATGTTGACGGGTGACAAAGTAAACGTCCTGCACTGCATAACACGGAAAATCATCGGTGAAAATAAAACCCAAAAGAAAAATCGTTACGAGGGATATTTTGATCAATAGGTTCCGAAAGTATTCTTATGCAAAATCAATAATTATTGCCATAGCGTTATGGGAAATCTCCGATGCCATAAGATACTTAACGTTTTTTCTTGTGTCTCATCTCAGAGAGGCGCCTGTAAGCCTGTGTACGTCCCAAGAACGGTGCTGCGACGTCATCGACGACGGAACTGTTTGAAATGGGCAGTGGAGCGATTTTCAGTGGCATGTACTTGTCATGTAGATGCAGTAGGAAGCTCTCCTCCAGTCCTTGATCGCAGGACAAAAACATAATTTTATGTATTTTGTAAATCGAATTGCATCAGGCACAGAGTAATAAAATTATAAATATACTGAAACACTTTGAAAACGCAAAATCAATTTTAACTCGAAATCAGAAAAGGTGTGTTTTCAATCTCCAAACACATCGCATGAGATTCGAAGCAGTTTGATATTGTTGCGTTTGATAATTTCATGCCAAATACCCTCAAATTAATTTGATTTTTGTGGCCAAATATTACAAAACATGGAGTATTCGTTTTCAACGTGTTTCAGTATATATCACTAGACAATCGCAATTTCTCCTGTTATTTATCCTCAGGTCGTGAGGCGCCTCGTGAGGTGTGTGTGTGTGTCTGTGTGTGTGTGACAATGTTACTTGTGGGGCGGCATGAGTTAAGCCCTTTTCTTGGTATATTTTCTGGAATATTGCAATATTATACATCGGCTTAAAAGCATACCCGTTAACGCTTACGTATATAAATAGCCGGATACCCTCAACCTGCCCAACACTATCAATGTATTCTCCTTAATATGTACTGAGTGAGTGAGTGAGTGAGATTATGTGTTACGTTCGATTAACGGTATTCATGTATATAACCACCGACCCCTATTAAGCTGGTGACATTGATCGGGACCGATGTAATTCGACGATGGTAAATTCGATTGCAATGACTCGATGGTAGCCATCGAGCGATTTACAAAGGTTACAAGACCTAGAGTATCACGAGATCTAAATACGGCATTCCCGTTCTGCACATGACGCCAGTGTTGTAACAATCGGTTCCGACGTATTTGCAGACCCCCCGTGACACTTAAACAGGGAACATTTTGCAGTGGAACCTCGCGTTCATGCACCATTATAATAGTAATACCGGCGTTACATCGAAGGGATAAACATGATATCATCGTACATTTTTTATAATAAATTAATAATAATAATGATGATGATGATGATGATGATGATGATGATGATGATGATGATGATAATACATCGTTAAATAGTCCCCTAAACGACCTCCATAACAAAAATACACGCATGTAAACTTGCGAAACTGCATGACGTCCATTCCACCAGTACACAAGGGCAGAATTATATCAAGGTTAAAGTAACACACTTCATGAAGTTCACTGACATTAGTTTACTCATTTGCGTGACTTATATTCCTCAGAAGACAGTGCCGGATATATATTACAGTTACTGTAACCTACTTTAAGTTCATTGACACTGTTGAGTGTGGGATACGTTGTTTTCTGAACAAACTTGGTCGTGGTGCAGTCAAGTGGTTAAAGCTTTGGCCCATCACGCCGATCCCCACGTTCCATTCCCCGCGTGGGTACAATGTGTGTGAACCCAAGTCTGGTGTCCGCCCGCCGTGGGTTTTGTAGAACCCAACTCCCTCGTTTACAATGTGTGTTTGTTGTTTAACGCCGCACTCAGCAATATTCCAGCGATATGACGGCGGTCTGTACATAATCGAGTATGGAGTATCGAGTATCCAGTGAGTAATGTCATGAGCATCCATCCACGCAATTGAAACACGATGACATGCATCAACCAAGTCAGCGAGCCTGACCACCCGATCCCGTTGGTCGCCTCCTACGACAAGCACAGTCGCCTCTTACGGCAAATATGGGTTGCTGAAGACCTATTCTAACCCGGATGTTCATGGGTCCACTCGCTTACCGAACAGATATGTTCAACAATATCACTAAATAGGTGTCAAGGTTACCTTCACCCGCAGTGACTCAGTTTGTACCGGGTGATCATCATGGCTGGCTGGTTGTGGATTGTAGATGGATGTTTGATCCAGAGAAAATAATGTCTTTAAACGCAAAGGCAGTTCTAACCTACCAGACAACAGGAAGTATACATCCATGTTTGATCGTGGCTAAAATGAACAAAGAAATGGTTATGAAATGATGTGTATGATGTATAATGGTGAGGTGTCATAGTTGTGTCTTGGACCTTATTATTGCGGTGTTTCAGTGACCGATTTCTGCCTAGTAACGTTTTGATAATTATAATGTTTGTAATGTTTTTGGTCAAATCTAATTTTCAAGTGTGTTCTTTCTTATCCCGGCTGTTTAATATTTTTAAATATGTATGATTCAATACATATCTTCAGATTTATATAAATGTCTAAAAATGCTGTGGCAAAATTCTAGCTAAAATATGAAGGTATTTTAAACTTAGTGAGTGAGTTGGGTTTAACGCCGCTTTTAACGGTATTCAAGTTATCTAGCGGCGTGTCAGCTTAATGTGGGAGAAAAGCTCGACGTCATGCAGGTCTCAGACGTTTACAACTTTGGTGAAACCCACGAGCACAGGTATGGTGGCGACAAATCTACAAACATAATCGGGTCGAACCGGGATTCGAACCCACAATCGTATGTTTCTTGCGTTCCCAAGGGACGCAACTCTGCACAGCGAACAGCGGCGCCTTAGGGTGACCGGGCCACCCGTGCCCCCTATAAACACCTTGGCAGCGGAGGGACAACACGTGATCCTGCGAATGACCAGTTTGACGAAAATCAGAACCTAGCATCTCTTAATTGTAACAGAGAAGAAAAAGGCACATAATTCGTGATGATATTAAAGTGAATATTCTGTTAGGCTGTATCTCGGCTGTTTTAGACAGCTGTCATACATATCTCGGTTGTTTGAGACAGCTGTCATACATATCTCGGTTGTTTGAGACAGCTGTCATATATATCTCGGTTGTTTGAGACAGCTGTCATACATATCTCGGTTGTTTGAGACAGCTGTCATACATATCTCGGTTGTTTGAGACATCTGTCATACATATCTCGGTTGTTTTAGACAGCTGTCATACATATCTCGGTTGTTTGAGACAGCTGTCATACATATCTCGGTTGTTTGAGACAGCTGTCATACATATCTCGGTTGTTTGAGACAGCTGTCATACATATCTCGGTTGTTTGAGACAGCTGTCATACATATCTCGGTTGTTTTAGACAGCTGTCATACATATCTCGGTTGTTTGAGACAGCTGTCATACATATCTCGGTTGTTTGAGACAGCTGTCATACATATCTCGACATCGTGTGACTAACAGGATCATAGCCAGTTAAACCAGGGTATGACAACGCTCCACACGGACAGGGTACGATTGTGACTACCATTGTGTCGAACCTTGATGTGTCGAATTTACGCTTGTCTCGAAGTTAAGTTTGGCCCTGCGTATTCCTTGTTTATTCGTCACTTTTCGGTTGTGTCGAACCTCGGATAACTCGAAGTATTAATGTAGGTACCTTCAACTTCGACATAACGGTGTTTGACCGTAACAATATGAACATTTCCTTTCACTGAAATCACATTACAGGTTTAGGGCACGTAAGAACTGTTTGCATTTTAATACTGATTATTCTATGAAATATCCGCTCGTCACATTAGTTCCGCATTACCTTGTCAGTGTTGACAATGGAGTGTTTACTCCATGATGTTTGAAAAGGTTTTTTCCGATGCTTGTGGTACTGTACCTTCTTGTCTGTCAGTGTTCCAGTGTTTGTTTGTTTTTATCAAGACGGTTCTAGGTAAGCGAGTTGATAAAATTCCATACGCAACCCAAGTGTAATAATTATTTCACGCACACGATGCTGTCATTGAGCAAGTGTGCCAGGTGTGATCCCTCTTTGAACAGTATTCCACTTATGTCACGTGGTATCAGCTTATTGTGGGAGTGAAGCCCGAAGTGCTCAACGTCTCAGATCTTTACCAGTTTTATGAAACCCACGAGCACAGGTATGGTGCTGGCAAACCTAGAAACATAAGCAGGGAGAATCTGGTATTCGATCTCGCGACCATTGATTTCTTACACTCATAATGGACCGATCATCATATTGTTGAATGAAAATTTGAGCTACAAAACATTTTATGAATTGTCGGATTTCTGCCATTTCATGATATTTATCTGTAACTAATTCATGGTAGTGAATTGTTAAGCTACTGGGTTCAAAACGCATTTTAGCAGTTAAATAGCGCCTATTTTGTTAGAAAACGTTCATTTGCACACAAACAACAGTGAAGTAAAACCTACACACGTAAAAAGAATATTTGAATTCCTGCTATTCACTGTAATATTCAGCTGCAAACAGGATTAGCCACAGAACACTATATAAAGTGAAGAATCCCTGCCATTCCCTGTAACATTCAAATGTAAACAGGATTAGCCACAGAACACTATATAAAGTGAAGAATCCCTGCCATTCCCTGTAACATTCAAATGTAAACAGGATTAGCCACAGAACACTATATAAAGTGAAGAATCCCTGCCATTCCCTGTAACATTCAAATGTAAACAGGATTAGCCATACAACACTATATATAGTGAAGAATCCCTGCCATTCCCTGTAACATTCAAATGTAAACAGGATTAGCCATACAAAACTATATAAAGTGAAGAATCCCTGCCATTCACTGTAATATTCAAATGTAAACAGGATTAGCCATACAACACTATATAAAGTGAAGAATCCCTGCCATTCACTGAAATATTCAAATGTAAAGAGGATTAGCCATACAACACTATATATAACGAAAAATCCCTGCCAGTCATCAAAAGCTACTTGTATCTTGTCAGATAAAAGAAAAAAACACACACAATATTTTCCAAATACTTTCTTTTTTCACATTTTTCATTAATCCTACAGTAGAGACGTTTCATTTGTATCTAAACACTGTGTGTAAAGGTGATTGGTGGGAAGAAACGTTTCTATATTAGAAAATCTTTTGGAGGACTCTCCAAGATTTCAAGGAGAATAGACTGTCTCAGTTCGGACGGAGCTTGTTACAGACATTACTTTTGCTACAAGGACGTCTGTACCCGGAGCCCGTTACAGACCATTCAAAAATTATAACAAATCGAGAAACCCCTGAATAAATAAATTGCAAACGATTCCATGGTATTTAATTGGCATACGAAGCAATTTTGTTTTTGCGTTTGTGTTCCCACAAACGGAAAACAAATATACGCTACGCCTTCAAGCGGTCTACTGTTTCCTGATTGGCTGATAATAATAATAATAAACACGTAACTGTCCCCTTATATACGTACAACCTACCCAGCCACTGGAAAGTTCCAGACAGTGCTCTCATAGCATAGAACATTACAGATTTGTCCATATGTTTCTAAAACATACTATCACCGTTTTATCATGGGACATCCGTTGTGTATCAGTCAATACACAAACAGTTTCATCATATCGGCTAATACACCTACAGTTTGTCATGAACCCTTCGTGGTGTATCGGCTAATACACCTACAGTTTTGT